TCCGGTGGGGCCAAGCCAGCAGGCGTGTCGAAACACGTGTACCTCGAAAATTTTCGGAACTCCTTTGTTAACAAACAAAAAAAAAAAAAAATCTACGCTTGCAGTTATTATGCCTAAAATCAATCGGCAAAAGTCGAGTCTGTTTGTAAATAAACTTTAAAGAGAAAGTTTGTTTGAAAAGAAATTTCTACGCATTTTGCGCTTTTGAACTTCCGTCGTTATTGCACTTTTTTTTTTTTATAATCTTCAGATCGCGATCAACGGCCGATAATCACTCCCCGTTAGCTATCGCCAAAAAAAAAAAAAAAAAACGATATCTATCTGCACGCGCGCGTAGAGAATACACGTAAAACATTATCTCGCGTATCACCTTCCCGTCTCTATAGAACCGAAGAAAAAGCCACGGTGGCTTCAAGGTCTACCGCATTTTCTCTTCTCTCGCTGACGCCTCCTTTTAACACCCATCCATCCGCACAAAAATCGACAGCCGGCGCCTTGTTTTCTCGCGCGGAGAAGAAGACGCTCGTCGTTGTGTAGTATCGATTCGAAGCCCTCGCGCGTACGAGCGAAACAACTTTGAGAAAATTTGTTTTTGCGCAGCGCGTCGCGTGCTTCTTTTATTGAAAACTGTATGCGAGCGATCAGGAAGAGGCGGGTTTCCAGGAGGAGAGTCGCGAGAGACGAGTTCAAACGGGAGCATTTACGGGTGTCTTAGACGAAGCAGGGCCTTAATCACCGTGTGATGCTCGTTGAATATCGGGGCGAGAGAGACGTGGGCACAACAAGGCAACACAAGCGGAGAGAAAAGGAAAACGAAGAGATGACGCGGCAGAGAGAGCAAAAAAGGACCACTGGGAGAGAAGGAAAAGAAGTGGGTCTGGTCTCTCGCACTTAGCATAATGTTCACCGCGCCTGTCATTACCCTCGACACCGACCGAGACGCCAACCTAACGCCCCGCGAGGTCTCGGATCAAGTAGACACGCGAGGACGCGCCAACAGACGTTTTATAGTTATCTTCATGTCTCACGGAGCGAGCGCAAGGACTCTTGTCCAGAATATTGATCGAGTACGCGATTTAACTCGAATTAACGCGAGCGCACTCGTCCTTTTGGACTCGCGTGCGCTCATCGCGTTTTATTTCCGCGCGCCGGGGAAAAACACCACGTGTAAGTCGCTAGGTGCGGACATCGACAAAGAGCGATCGGGGACGCGATTCTATTTACTCTCGGCAGAGGTATAATTTTCGAGGAGTTAATTGTTTCGTAACATCGCGAACGACGAGATTTAATGGCAGGTTGCAAAATTCGCTTTTCACTTTTTTTCCCGATCGTCTTATTTAATTCGTCGGGAGAAAGAGAGAGACAGCTGAATCACGTGAAGATCGCAAATTGAGGCGCAATTTAACGCGCCTGTGATAAACTTTTCCGATAAGCGCGAGGGGAATGTGGGACAAAAAAAAAAAACATGCCAACGACGAAATCGGTCGTCTTTCCCAAGAACGCGACACAGTTTCTTGTACATCGCGGAAGGACGAAATTTATCTTGTTATCCCGATGTAACTAATTTGTGGGGGCGAGTGGGCGATCAAACGGTATGTTTCTCGAATTCTCTAACGACGAGGATTAACCCTAACGACTCTCGGTACCTCATAAATCGCCGCGTCTCGCGTATTAGGCGTACGCAAAGGAGAGAAAGAATCGATTTATGGTCTTGCCGGAACATAAATTCGTCCTCGCGGAAACATCTCCGCCGCGTAAAACCGGCGATTTCTACCAGGTCGGTATTTTCAAACGGAATCTCGCGACTGTGGAATAAAGAAACGGATTTTTTTTTTTTTTTTTTTCCGGACGCGCCGGTCATTTCGTAAGAGAGTCTCGTGAGATATGGTCCTGATCCTGTGACGGACCCTCCTGGCAGATTAACACCGCGGTGTTGATAAATTAGGGCTACCTGCATAATAAAAGCTATGTTGCGCGGACTTGGTAAAGGACGGGAAGATATACCCATTTGGACGTATACATTGATTATAAGTGACAAATAATGAGCCTTAATACGGTATAATATTATAACAAAGATTTATACGGTTTCTTCAATAAGGAAGAGTTAAAGCTGTATTAGCTTAACCGTGAAGACGTTAATTAATTGTTATTACTCAAGATTATTATTCATTTGATTAATTAACAATATTAAAATATTAATTTCCAACTGATTGATCCGGTAAATAAATATACATTTATGTGTATTTGTTTATTTAATAAATTACCGTTTCTGAATTGATTTTTTTCTCGAATTACTTGTCGCTTCTGAAAACGAGGGGTACACACACGCAATTTGTCAAGCGATTTTTACAAAAACTTTTTACAGAAGCAGATTTAAGCTTGGTCAACGCTGTTACAAATCCGAGCCTATTGTGTATGGTTTTGGTTTTTTGTTTTCTTACTGCGATAAAACATGATGTATATTGTATACACGCGCGAAAGGACACTTGATCCAAGCGAAAGAGTATCTGGTTACGGATGGCACTTATGGAAATGCACCGAATGACAAATATAGCTTGTCGTAGATCGCGATTCCGCGGTAAGTCTGCGAGATATTTACAACTGCTTCGAAAAATTGGTAAACGAGAAAGAAATCTGAGACTGTACACAAGCGTTTAACGTATATTTAGAAACAGATAATTCTCCAAGAACAAAGCTAAATAAATTGCACATAGAATAATAATAATTATTATTATATAATTATTTAGCTTAATAACAATTTATTACGCATATTTATGCGAACGCTTCATTGCAGAGAAGTATCGATAGAATGAACTTAAATAAAAAATTTTGTGCAATTTAAAAGAACTTCAAAAGAAACATACAAGTACAATTCTTTATTACGTTTAGCAAGCCTGTGAGGGGTAAACACTCTCGAGAGAAACCGTTACATACTCGACTTGCTCATTGAATTTATCTTCTTTTTTTTTTTTTTGTTTTCTTTCTTGGAAAATCCAATTCACTCGCAGATTCAATTCGCTCCCCGTTACAACGTTAGGGAGAGAGAGAACTTACGGCGCACGATCTTGGCACACTTGAACAGATCTTCGCGCAACGGATGAAAATACGACGAATAAGTATGTAAAACGCGCGTCCATTTAAGAGATCATCTATACGGAAGCTGCAACGGCAGCAACACCAACAATGCGCCATTACTCGCGAATAAATAAAAGCCGCGATCTCGTGTGTGTGTGTGTGTGTGCGTGAGGTAGGCTACGTAACGCGTAACGATAATTTAAACCGACGGCGCGATAGGATAGGTTCTCGGGGCACGACGGCGCGAGATGCGTTCGTGGTGATTTGATGCTTCCTGGGCTGAACGATTCAATCTGGCCGGATGAGGTCGCAAATTTTACGTAGTTACGCGAGAGCCTCGCGAAGAGCATATCGCTTTGCCGCTTAACTGCAACTTACCTAAGCAATATACGTACCTACCTACCTACGTCGGTTACACGCGGCTAAGTAAAGGCGGCATTCACGTAAGATGCATTAACTTTGCGCTAATGCATCTTACGTCCGGGGATATTTGGTTGGTTCAAATTTTTGTTGCTCTCTCTCTCTCTCTCAACTTTTGCAGTCTTCAATTTCGTCAATGTATCGTCAGTCACGTCGACAAAATTGATTAAGTTTTTCGATGGAGATGTATTCGATAACATTGTGAGAGTTCGCCTCAAGCGGATGTGACTCGCAGGAAGAGGATCCTGCCGACAAAGTGGGCGTTTACGAGGAGAGGCAGCAAAGAGGCGTCGGGAAGCGGAAATTCGAGAGGCTCCGGCTGTGTCTCTTGTCTCTTTCTCCCCCCTTCTCCCCGAGGAGAGGATTCTTTAATCGTTTATTAAAACAAGCGCCGAGGGGCGGACGGCACCCGCCGTTGGAAGCTCACTCTTGTAATTTAATCTCACTTTAAATTACAGACAAGAGTGGATGCGACGCGCGCACACCGGGTGGCGGACTCGAATTGCAAAGCTTTGTTCCGTCACTCGCGGTTTTCGTCCACACAATTTTTCAGTCGTATTTCACGTCAATTCTGCTCGCGCTATCATTAGCTAATTTCTGACGATTTAAACCGCGTGCGCCGTTCCTTTAATCTCAGATAGAAACTGCGCAGACTATCGTTTTTGCGTTAAAAAAAAAAAAAAAAACAATAAAAAAACAAAAAAGAACATGCAGTTTGCAAAAAGACAAATTATCATATTATTGTTTTTCCATACGCGCGTTACTAAAGAAGTTTCATAAGTGGTAAGAAAACAAAACATTGCGAAACTGCGATTAGAAGATTAGCATGTGTGATAAAAACATAAAGAGAACATAAAAACAAATTTATCGCGATGCAAAAAAATGTAATCAAAAAAGATATAAAAAAAAAAAACATTAGGGAGAACACGTGAATGATTCTCGTAAACGTTAATTTATTACATGCTGAAGTTCGCCGAGGTGGCATCGGGGATTGAAATAAGTAAATTATATGTATATATATTTTTATTGTACGAGAGACTTCGCACAAAATTCATTGAATAAAAGATGTGCGGTCTGTTAGGATTCTTCGTTTATCTTTTTTATTCCCTTGTTTCTCAAGGGAATATACGGTATTGATTATAAAACACGTTCGTCTGACTGACCCGCAGCTAACCCCGCCGTTACGAGATGACAACGACGCACGTTGTTCTTCTTCTTTTCCCTTACTCCCCGGGTGTAAAAATGCGACGGAATCCCAAGTGCGAATTAGCATGATGTTATATTCATCACCTGTCCGCTTGTCGGCGGAATTCTTTTTCATGTTCTCGTGTTTACGAACATCAGATAAAGAAATCGAACGCATTTCCATTCACGGACAGTTCACAGACAGAACAATTAAAATGTGTTTGACTAAATTTTTGCGCTAACGTTTCTTAAAAATTTTTGCGCTAACGTTTCTTAAAAATTAAATTTCTTTAAGGGATTTTCTTTTTTTTTTCCTGCAGAGAGAGGACGATTTGCATAAAGCGGTAAAGCTGACAACGAGGGAGAGAAGGTTCATAAAATTCGCGTCGGTGATGTACGACGGTCAACTCTACATGACTCCGCAAGACTTTCTCGACAGTGTCATCGATGCCGAACCCCGACGTAGGTGGCGCACACGTTTTAATAATATATATATATATGTATGTTGTAAATAAAAATCTTTGTCGCACAACAAAATTCGCGCGATTCTAACAAACGTTTTTTTTACTTGCAGCGAGACTGAAGAGGCGCGTGCTTACGGATCAGGAGCTCGAGGTGATGAGAAATTCGACGGCCTCGCTGCGTCACGGAAGCACGCACATGTTCAGAAATTTAAGAGATAAAGGTAAACCACCACGGTCTCATTCTTCAGTTATATGCAAAATAATTTACAACAGTAATTTTTATACACGTGTGCAATACACACGTACGATAAATCTGCGCGAGATCTTTTCGAGGCGCCGCCGTTCGCACCTCGAAGCTTTCTTTAAGGCGTGCAGCAATTCGACGAGAGAAAAAAATACGATATCGGCGCGCTTTACAAGCACGGCTATCGATCGCGATCGATCCTCGTACGTAACCCGTACTTACGCGGTGCTTATTCGACGCGAGTCCTCGCCACCCACGCGGCCGCAGACAGGACCCCGTATCATTATAGTTTAATGGCGCGCTCGCACTTCGGGTTCTTCCTGGCTTTTTACGCGTGCATCTCACGTTCGTCGTGCTAATGGAAATGCAAATAATCACACCGAGGGAAACCAATGCGGAGGTGAGGAGGAGCAGCCAGTTTCACACCTTCTTTTAATAATAACGAGTTCCTCGAGCTCTCCCGCCGCCGTGGCTGCGGCTTTCTCTACCTTTTTTTTTTTCTCTCTCTCTCTCTCTCTCTCCCTCTTTTCGCGTGCGTGCGACGCGGAATTCTGCCGAGCGCAGATAAACGAGGCCGTCAGCCGTCTCTGCTTTTAAGGGCATTCGATATGCGCAATATCGCGAAGCCAATTACAATTAAGAACGATTAAGGAGGATCGCGAGAGTCTCCGATCGAAACGGAAAATCGATCAGAATGTCGTCCCGATGACAAATAATATATCAGGACGCCAGGTAGTCAATCGGGTGGTCGGCATTTGTAACACGTTTTAGTCGACGCGTCGATGATTTCCTTGCTGTGCTGACACAACACGCGTCACGCTTTCCGCGAGAGATTTCACGTGGTCGCATTTTCTCTTCGCTTCGAACACTGTTGCGATATTGTCGCCCGTATTAGAACTAAAAACAAAAAAAAAAAAAAAAAAAACGGATTTACATATGTAGATCAACTGTGTCGGTCGCTGCTTTCTTCTCTAACCGATAAGTTCGTTCGGTTTTTTAGAGTCTTGTGAAGGAATTTTATGGGGTGGCTACGATCTGTGAAGCAGCCCCCTTTTGTAATGCGTTACGTACGAGCTGAAAACCGCGCCGCAAGGGAGTACGTTTAAGATCAGAATTTAGGTGCGTCCGCGGGTCTCTCGCGTTCGCCATTAAATTCTAAGTTATTGATCCTTTCCGAAGGCGATGGCTTTCTCAAAAAAAAAAAAAAAAATACCTGGGACCTGGTGAGGCGTGTCTAACGAATGTTCAAGCGTTAGTCCGAGATGTATCGTAAAATGTACGTTTACCGCCACGAGCCCGTGTGTATAAATCGCGTTACGCGGATTAAGAGAAATTAAGAAAGAAAAATACAAAAGAAAATTAAGAAAGAATTCGATGAAATCAATACAGTTGTTTCACGCAATTTAGAAACGCGTGATTTATACAAAGTGTGCCAAAATCTTTACGACGCCTTGTGATTTCTCTTATTTGAAACGACGATTAGTCAATGATCATACGTCTGAACGTGATGTATGCGTAAAATCTTTGTGTGTGTGTATGTATTATATTTATTTACAATATATAAATAAATATATATATTTATATATATAAATAAATATATATATATTTATTTATATATTGTAATATATAAATAAATACATTTATTTATTTATATATTGTAAATTACAATATGTAGATGTAAATGAGAAAATTCAATGAAACAATATTTCATAATTAAAAAAATTGAACATAAGCCGATATAATTGTTTTTTGTGTTCATTTCAAGCGCTGTCACAAACTGTACGCGCTACACGTACGTTGCTTGTACAATCTCGATTTGTTTCTATTTTCAGGGATTATTTCTTACACGGAGTACCTGTTTCTTCTGTCCATCCTGACAAGTAAGTTTTCTCAGTAGCTTGAATATATTTATGAGACAAATTGCAATGTAAATGCACATAAAAAACGCTTAAATGAAGCGCAACGATCAATCGCGATGTGTTCGGTGTTATACAAATCACACGTTGCGAGAGAAAACTTAGGCAACAAGAATAATACCTATCGCGTATCGTCCTGATCGTCACGTGAAAGCAATGGCCTCTATCCGCTCGCTCGAGAAGTTGTACGGAACGTTCAATTTATTTGACGTAGCCGACACGAATTACGATGTGACAATTTTAATGATACGACACGTTAAGTATAGAGCGTTTTTTTTGTGTAAAAAAGCGAACAACACACACATTAGTCAGAATTTACGCGGAGTATGTGCGGAGTATCGGGTATAAAATCATTTTCGTATTTCTGTTGAAGGATATTGCGTTGTTATTGTGCAAACGCAATAAATTATTCGTAAAGAGATCTGTGTGTTTAAGTTTAATAAAAAGTACAGTTGATATCTTTATCAACAAAAGATCTCTGAAATTATTCGCAGAAAAAAAACATTAAAAATCAAACATAAAAATTATTTGAAACACTGTACCCGCGCGCATGTGCGTTAAAAAAGACACTTTTTACGATGTGATTAAATATAAAAATCGGTCAGTGTAAAGATATTTTTCGTTAATGCGTCTTAATAAATGACCTACATTTGCGACGATAATTGATCTCTCGTTGCAGAACCGAAAACTGGTTTCCAAATCGCCTTCAATATGTTTGACACGGACGGAAACGAGAGGGTCGACAAAACTGAATTTCTTGTGGTAAAATTAATGCGTATTTTTTCACTGTTTGCATAAACACAATTAGAGATATTTAGTATAGACTTATATATAGTACGGACTTCTCTTGACTTTATTTATTTATTTTTTTTTTTTATTATTTTATTTTCTGCAAGCTATGCATCTTGTATGAGCAATAAAAACAAAAATTGCTTAAAATAAAATTAGCAAGCGTGTACCAAATGGAACCGAATGGATCAACAGGGAAGAACTTCACTAGTGTGTAAAATTCTCGTAACGATTGTTAAGCTTTTAGCATGAACAACTTTTTTGTCATTCTCGCAGATTCGTCGTTTACTCGGCGGCAGTTTGAAGGAGAGAGATCTCGATGAGCAGACAAGACGTGCAGTGAGTTTTAGATAATTTCTCGCGAATCAAGAATAAAGTCTGAAGTTGTAATAAAGTCATATGATAATTCAGAAAAAATGTTTCAGCTAGGAAATTATCTAAACCAAGTATAATTCGCTAGCTCTAAGCGTAATTGGCTATCTGTAATTGCTAAAAAAAAAAAAAAAAAACATTTTTTGAAACAACTCGTGTCGCAAAATTTAAAAATGTATTCTGTAAATTATCATTATATATTGTTTACCGATTATTTATTACTTATTACATATACTTTCTCGTATTTATTAGTTTTTAATTTATAAATTTTTGTTGCAAATAATAATTTGATAGTTTTTGTTTTATAATGCGCAAGCATTGACCTTTCAATAATTTTTTTTTTCTCATTTATTTTGAAATATCAGTTACGTTCCATAATGTCTCTGAGCGAGGATATTGCGGGCAAGGCAAAGCTACGTGAAGTAAAAGCCACCCAAAGTTCGATTAAATCAAGTGAAAATGAAATCGTCTCAAATTCTTACGTAAGTGCATGATCGATATTTACACAAGTTTTATACTTATCCGAAATCCTTTCTGTTTTTATATAATTTTTTTTTTTCAGTTTTTGCTATAAGTTACGTTCTTCTATTTTAATATATTATTGTTTCGAATTTCAATTATTTTGAGACAAAAGATTTACAGCAAGGTGGAATAACGTAATCACGATATAAATTATTCTCTCTTTTTGGATGTGCGTATATACTACCACGTTACACTACGTCGATATTCACCCGATGTGTTAACACTTGATGTCTTAACCGATCGGCTACTAAAAAACTAAACGGTTTGGTAGCGGCGTTTATCAATATCAAGAATCTATTAATTAGCATTTCACTGCCAGCACTTATCGACTCTTAGAAGCTTGGTAATCAGCTTATAATCCCGAGTCGCGCCAGAATGAGCAGATTATTTTCCCGCGGCAGTTCTCCGATCGGTTAAGTTTTAATTTATGCAACTCAGCTGCTCTCTAATCGTAAACTGTTCCTCTCTTCTTTCCCTCTCTGTGTATTCCCGTAATGTATTAATTATTCATCCGATAATGCTATTTGCCACTTATTTCAGATGCACTAACGCTGGAAGCTGAATAATTGCCGTCATATATTGCCTTTTATATCTGTGTAACTTCAGCACACATGTGTCAGTTAGTAAAAAAAAACAAAAAAAAACAAAACATATATATTCTGAACAACACCGCGTTATTACTCTATCGTGATATATACAATCTGTCCGTTCTTCTTCGATATATCTTTACGTTCTACACAGATGGAGAAGATATTCAGTCACGCGTGGAGGGGTCGTCATGGATGCGAAACCAAGGAAGAACTGGAACAATTGCAAGAACGTCAGAAAACACCAGAAGAAATTCAAGGCCAGTACATCGACGATGATCAGGTGCGTAAAACGAAACTTTCGTTGCTCAATAGTCGAATAATGACAAGTATTAAAATTGTTCTTCTCGTGCGCGTGTGTATGTTTACAACGCAGGGTTTGCAACGACGTCACGCTGTGGATACCACCCTGATGATACACTTTTTTGGCAAAGACGGCACTACCGAGTTAAGATACGAAGATTTCAAACGTTTCATGGAGAACTTGCAGCACGAGGTGTTGGAGCTAGAGTTTCACGAATTTAGCAAAGGACACGACACGATCAGCGAACTGGATTTCGCGAAGATCTTGTTACGATACACGTATCTCGAGCCTGACGAGTAAGTTGAATATTTGGCTTTCGCACAGTATTGTTGTTACGTCTAATATTTTTCTAAGTCCGTTAAAAAAATCTCATCAGAGTAAGTTGAACAATAAAATACACAGATACGACAAGTACTTGGACAGAATGTTGGATCGAGAGAGCTTGGATATCGGAATCACGTTCGAGGAATTTCGTCGATTCTATCAATTTTTAAATACCCTGGACGATTTTTCGATAGCAATGCGAATGTACACGTTGGCCGACCATCCTATATCTAAAGGTAAAATTTCGCGTAACAAAAATGTTTAAATAAAACCTATACGCACGTATATGCACCTTCTTTCTTACATGAATAAAATTTTACATCAACTAAAAAAAAACTTTATCTCATTATCTTGCTATATTAAAAATGTAACATTTCAAAATAATATTTTATATGCAATTGTTTCAGACGAGTTTCAACGCGCCGTAAAAATATGTACGGGATCGGTGCTTTCGGATCACATAATCGATACGGTGTTCGCGCTGTTCGATGAGGACGGAGACGGTAAACTCTCTTATAAGGAATTTATAGCTATTATGAAAGATCGATTGCACAGAGGCTTCAAGGTAAAGGTGTTATTGCGCTTCACATTTTCGGAATAGAATGTACGTAAGATGTAACGACGCCTGAAATAAGGCTACACCGTGTACACCATTGTGCGCACCGAATAATTGCTATTTCTCAGGCTGTACAGATGGTGCAATTCTCGGATAAAGCGCAACAAAAACATTAAGATTGACATTCACACAAATATATTTTTTTTTTGTAGTCTCAACAACGCAACGAGGGGTGGGAGGCGTTCAAATTCTGCGTGAAACAAGAGATGAAAGCGCCGTGAAGACAAGGTTCAGCGCAAAGAAATGTGAAAATCGCGGAAAAAATTATAAGTAATGATCGTTTCATGTACTTATACAAAAAAAAAAAAAACAATTCCTATAAATCCTACAATCCCATGTGATATAATTATCAGGTTACTCTATTCTTTTATCTTAAAAACGCAATGTAGAGCTATTATAAATTATTTATATTTCTGCCTAATATATATATAAAGAGATTATGTGTTCTGCCTAATATATATATAAAGAGATTATGTGTTCGCACAACTATTCTTATTAAGCAAAAAATATATAAATAAATTTAAATAATATATAATAAAAAGATATATAAGAGTTAAGTTATATTTAAACAATGATAATGTAAAGAATAATAAAGCATTTGTTGTGTTAGTGATACAAGAAAAAACATTTGCTTTTTTGTTCGCTCTTTCTCTAATTCTCACTCTTTCAGATATTTTCAGATAAGAATCTTAGTTGAAATTTAAAAGTTTCAGCGAGATAGCACGGATAAAAAAATTGACTGCTCGAAGAAAATTAAATCGTACGAAATTACTTGGCACAGTGTCGCGCGTTTTCAAGTAACAAAAAATACATACTTCGTCCCACACGCGGCGGTTCGACTTTACAATTTGTCTTGCCGGTTGTAATTACGCGTTATCAGTTATCGCAACGATTATGCTGGTACCGTGTGTTCCCTCGTCAAACAAACCGACGAAAAACACGCAATGCCCGCGAAGTGTCTGAACGCGATATCAGAGCGGCTCGTTACGCGCGAGGATTCTACACAAAGCCCGCTAGTTTCAAAACGACAACTTGCGTAATTGTGTGTGCGCTGTCTAGGAAGGAGAAAGAGAGAAAGAGAGAGAGACAAAGAATTCAAGATTTCCAGTCTTAATTTGTCGCGGGAATAGCACACAATTGCACCACAGTCGCCGTCGTCTGAATGATGTTATCTAACGGTAATTATTAAGCACATACCTAATATTAAAAACAAATACAATGCAGACACACACACACGTACTGTCAGGTAATTACACAATGTCTATGATTTTACGCTTTTATTTTTTGTGATTTTATCACGCTTACTTTTTTTTAACTTCAATTCTTTGAAATTTTTAACATCATTGTGTAACATCAACAACAAGTCGCGTTTTAAAATTGTTGGATATACTCCAATCGCAATATCTTTGTGCAATTGTCTTATGTTCTATTTAACTTTAATTTATGTGTCGTTACAAATATTGCATAACAAATGTTTGCATAGAAATAATAATAAAATTTCATACATAGATGAAATGGAGTTTCTTCAACAATTCTCACGCGTTTATTGTTAACTTTGACATGGTAGTGTCAATAACATTGGAAAGCAACAGTACGCGAGGAACGAGGCGGGAACCAAAACAACAAGCCTGTTGGACTTATCTTAACTGAGGAACCGGCGAGCACACCGTCGCCGAGTTTAGCAAGCTCAGTTGCGAGAGGGAAGCGAAGATCGCGCCGCACTCTCGACGATTCTCGTTGCACGTTGTTCAAGTCGAGTATCAGTCGGGATCGCGACGTCGGTCACCTTTTAATTTCGCGTCGCCACGTGCGATCACAACCACGTGCAACATGGGTGTACGCAAGATAGCCAGATGGTTCAAGTAAGTTAAAAAATCAAAACAAAAACATAATAGCGGAAAAAAAATGAAGACAAGAGTACCGGTGTGAAAAATATCGTCGAGTGTGAACTAAGGAGAGGAAAAAGTTCTTGCGCGCTTCAATTTGAGTTTTGTTGCGTTCAGTTCTGGTCTTTCGGTTAAATTATCGTGACTCAAGTACTTTTTGAATAACGATCACGCGCGTGTGTTGTCATACTTTGTATATCTCTCCGACAAACAATTCGAGTCATTTCCTAATTTGAGGAAAACGAACGAGAATTTGTATCGAATCGTTTACGCCAGAACGACGATGACGTTGAAAAAGGTGAAGGTCGCCAATGTCGTGTAATCAGGCTGATAAAAACGATCAAGTTAATCAATGCGTACAACAAGTTGACATTGATTGCCTTTAAACACACAGAAAATTTTATTTCGTCTTCACAGAACACGCGCGTGATAGAATTTTTCAAAACAAATTGGATCTTCAAGAGACAATTTTTCTCATTGCACACTTTTAATTTTTTTTTTTTTTCTCGAAAGCGAATTCGACCGATGTGTGACAGAGCAAGAAAATGAATCGTTATCGAGTCCGCTTGGACTAGAGAGATTGGGGCCGAGAGAAACGAGAGATAGACATTTTAATCTCGTTGTTATACAAAGATAACTTTATATAAAGAACGATATTAGCTCACGTTTCACTTTTGCGTCTGCGCAAACAGGAGACGCGTATAATCGCGTCCGATCGGAATCAAACATCAAAGCGGAAGAACACGCGGAAAGAGATATATATATATATACATGTATGGTTACACTTCCGAGTTTCTCCGGCGCGTCGTGCAAAAGCTCTCGACTACTTTCCACTCCGAGAAAATGTTCCGAAAAGTTGAAGCGTATCGAAGACACGGGCTAATTACGTACAAAAGAATAGGCCGAGGTCCCCCCCTTCCCTCCCATGGTTTCGAGCACCGTTAACTCGAGGGATTTTAACCAGTTCGCCGGTTCTCTGATGACCGCTATTATCTCCTCGTAAAGCCGCGCGAGATTGTGGAGATTGGCTTTTATATACGCGTAAGCTATAAAAATTGCACCGCTATCTCTTAAAAGTCACGAAATCAGAATTGAGCGAACGAACCGTTTGCCTCATTGAGCGAAAAGATCGCAAAAAGAAGTCTCATTCAAGAAAGAGAGTTCGTCACGGGATCGCACAATTTTACTACTCTTTGTTTTTGTTTCAAATCGACGCGGTTAGCTGCGTCGATTCCCGCGGGATCAAATCTGATCTTAATTGTTTAACAATTTTTGAAATCGGACAAATCTTTGATCGTCGCGCACAGAACACAGAGATTGAAGATGTTCTTATTGTCTCGGAAGACGTTCGAAACAACATCTGTCAACTTTTACGACGAACAAATTTTGTCGAGATGAGACAAATCGGTGTTTAGTGTCGTCGGGGCTCACGTAACCGGGTTTGTTTGTATTTATTGCACGCGCATTCTAATCGCACGCGCGCGATACTTTCGTAGTCCGTATATAGGAGAACGGATGTGAGGAAACCTTGCAAACGGTATGCAAATTAATCGGAAAAATCGAGAGCACTCGTCGATCGCCTCATGACCGACATCTTCTCTCTCGCGAATTATTAATTTATGCGCAATTGGCAATTCTATCTCGTCGAGATTAATTCGCGACGTAGTCGTCGGAAAAATGCCGGCTCACACAAACGTAATTATGCGTTTTCTCTCTACGCCGTTTTCTCTCTACGCCGTCTCTCAAAACTGGCAATCAGCAACCAGCGGAATCGTACGTAGAAGAAAATGTTTCTGATAACCGTGAAATACGTTTTGTAACGCGAGACGCACTAACTATTATGTGTGTTCGCAAATTGCGTGCTGTGCTATCGATGGGCGAGTTCAGGAATATATCAGTCACGTTGATCGCTCGCTAGACAGGCACGGTTTATTCTAATTAGACGAACGTTAATCGCGGAAGTGAACTACTTTGCAAGTTGACGATCGTAGCTGACGGACGAGTGCGTGTGTGTGTGTGTTTACACGACACGCAATCTATTTCTCTTTGATCTCATTAAAAACCGACTGACTTGAAAATCGATAACACACAGATCTCGAATGTAAATTTTCGTTGTTTTGAAAAAAGCGAGAGGCAATATTTACGATAATTCGATTCGTTTTTCGCGCTTAGCTTTCAAGGTTAGCTGAAGGTTTTAAAGACTGGCGAGATCTTACTTGCGAGAGATTAGTACGAGATCACAGTCGGCACGGAACAAACGTTTTTCGCAACAAACAAATGCGACATGTGGAAACTGTTTGTATTCAAATCGGCCAAAAAGTAAGTGAATTTGAACACACACATCGTCCGCTTTTCGAAGTTAAAATATTTTTGTCGTTGTGTGTCGAGCGTAATTTGTTTTTCTCACGAGAGAGGAGCACAATGCCGGGAAAACGGTAATGAGTAATCACGAAATACTAAACAAATATCATTTGCATCAACGATAATGATGTGACCACGCGTAATAGAAAATTATTCTAATTAATTTTTTTTTCCGCGATTCTAAAAACATTTACTTTATAATATTTCTAATATTTCGCAAAAACGACGATGTGTTATGTATTTTACGAGCGTGTCTCTTCGCGTCGTGTCTACGAGTTCACGAAAGGTCCGCCGCATAACAATAGTCAGTTCTCGATCGCGAATAAAAGAAACGGAGAGGGAAAAACGTGAATCTAAAATAAAATTGCATTGCGCGAAGCACATAATAGATATAGCCGGCGTTCTGTGAACCGTAAAAGATGGCCGAATCGTTAGAGAAAGTGCAAGCTCGCGGATCAATTTCACGACCGCCGTAAAACTTTGCATGCTTCGGCGATCTTTCTGATTTTTTATTTTTCTTTCGTTCTTTTATGATCGAGACCTCCTGTTCCACTGACATCGACGACCTTTTCTTATTAGACATTATATTAGAGAAAGAGAGAGAGAGGAAAGAAATTTCAAACATACCTTTGTTGTTCGATTTTTCAGGATAGCTGCTCGGGCGGACAAGGATCGCACGCAACCTTCGTCTCCTCTGGTGTTGCAAAGCAGCAAGTAAGTGGAGATGTCTTCTCGGATGTCACTCGTAAATGCGAATTAATTAATTAGTCAGATTCGATTTATTCCGCACACAAAGTTTTGCAGCAATTCGTTCCGCGACTTGTCAGACCGAAACCACCAAAAATTTCGACGGCGCAACTTGAAAAATTTTAGGCGCGCTTTTGCGGCGCGGACAGCGCCACCACTCGACATACGGGAGAATTAGATCTAATCGCAATCGTCCGGAGAGATTCGAGAGATCGCGCTCTGTATTATCGCGAGATAATCGCGATGTATTTTTCTAACTAAATGTTTACACTTCGCGTCATATTTCGGCGTCCGATGTCTCAGATAGGGTTAGAATGAACAAAGTGTTTGTTAAAAACAAAAGAACACATGTAAAAATATATATATAAATAACTTGACATTGATAATCGATCGTGTTCAATAACTTTGTATGTTGTGTGATTTGTTGTGTTTGTTATTAAAGTACGTATTTTGTAGATATTGTTTGTTTCTCTTCACTCGTTTACTTGTTTTACACACTTTTGTGTAAATGTTTTTTTTCATAAGATGCAGAATGTATTAATTATGTGTTTTTTTTTATTCTACAGTAAGTATATACCTCTTGATCCCCTTGTAAACAAAAAGTTTGCCACTCTACGTATGTATACACGTGAAAAAGTAACACTCTATTCTAAAATAATATTTTCTTGTCACAATAAACATACGTGAATCAATGTTTGTGCGTCGATTATGCAAAAATTAGATCGTTCTCCTTATTTTATGGAATATCTCTAAGTTTCTGCGCATCAATCATGGCCTTTCCAACTCCTTTCGACGCCAGGTACGAATTTTTATTGCATAAACATTTCAATCTCCAGAGAGATTATATTTTTTATATTTTAAGAATCGTATGTTTCTCCGCAAGATAACATTTTTACTTTGTGTTTTATTTTGTTTTTATATGTGTCGTGTTTAAAAAACTTGAGATTTTGTATATTACTGAAAAATAATGTGTGTTGCTGACAGAGAAATAATATTGTTTGTAAGTTCATTTTCTGTAGCTATAAAACACAGACAGCCGTCTGACGTGTCTGAAAAATATATACATATACGAACTCGATGCCGTTTGCATAATCGACATGACGCGATACCGGCGTTTTGTACTATGGTCGGTTGTGCATCGAGTACTTTGTTTCCTCAGTTGTGCGAATAATCGTGACCGGTGCGCTTCTTGCGTGCGCTCCTCTTCTCCTCGATGAGTTGTTGTTAGTAGATTTTCGACGTGTTGTGTTTTCGCGTGATTTAATTATGAACAATGCCCTCAACATGACTCGGTAATTTTTGCGCACATTGAGAGAGAATGGTTTTAATTTTATTTGTAATTTTAGAGCGGAGCACGAAAAATCACGCGTTAATGTCGAGTTTTTTTACGCAAAAAGAATTTTGTTTCTTTGCTCGCGATAAGTTACGATCAAAATCGTTTCTCGCGTCCGATTAGATTGAGATTTAACTGAATGCATGCTTCTCTTCGCAGTGAATATTACCGAAACTTAGTGCAACAGCTCGCAAACAATTGTAAAACGCCAAACAGAGACATCACCGATCCGGACTGGCTGATTTATTTTCCCAAGGAGCAGAACAACGAGCGGATCTTTAAAAAAGATCGGAATCGAAAGTCAAGCAACAAACGTAAACAGATTGTTCCGGGTGTGCCGCATATACGGTCTTCCGAAATATTTGAGATCGGAAACGTAGCGGGTACGGAGAACCGATCTCTCGAGCTGATTTCTGCGGAATGGCACAATACGAAAGTCGCACTGAAGAGACACGTTTTTCCGGCGTGTCGCGACGCGATAAAGGCAGACATAGAAGTTCTCAGGTAAAAGCCGCTCGCGCCCAATTATCAGTTGTGCAAGAAGAAGATACATTAAAATCTTCACTTTCTCTCAGTAGTTCAATGAAAGTAGTTCAATGAAGAGTTGTTGATTGTTTTATGACTATAATAGAAAACTGCATTTTTATGCGCATTGCGTCTGTTTATGATATAAAATAAAGGCAATTTTATTATCGTCAGCGAGATACGACATCCCAATGTACTGCTGTTAATGGCAACAACGTATACGGACGAGCACGGGATCGTTTCTATTTTGGAGCCTGTCGACTGCACATTGTACAATTACATACACGATCAAGGCGAACGATTAAATATGCAAGGAATCATACAAATTGGCATAAAATTGGCGGACGCGTTGAAATACTGCCACATGCGCGGATATATCCATGGCGCAATCAGTTCCCATTGCGTTTACTTCGCATCCGACAGAAATGTCAAGCTTGGTGGATGGGAACTAGCTAGGGAAACAGCAAACGTACGCAGACAAACGAACAAACTTTCTTCTTATACTATAATAATATCAAATTTCTTTTTACAAAGAAAGAATAGAAGATATATTTTTATGTTTTATTTTCTGAACAATGAAGATGATTATTCACACGTGTCTCGCGACGATTTTATGTGTTATTTAAAACCGATTTTTGATTGAAAAAAATTTTGCTGACAGAATAGACTAAAAAAAAAAAAAACGGATCGCGTCATATCCGTGATTCCGTGACACACCCGTGAGCGTTTCACCAACGGAAACAGTCGGCATTGTTTTCGACAAAATGTTCGTTTTTGAACAAATTCGCTGTACCGTATCGATGCTAATCGCGCGCCCGCAGTCTGGAACGCGGAACTCTAGCATGGATCATAAAACCGCAATTAAATATGATAAATTTATAGTTTTCACGACGAAACGAGACATTACGGGATACCGAATTGTAAAATCACAACAATATTGTACAGCAAAAAGTAGAAAAGTTGTAAAATAGGAACTTAAAAAATAATATATATAAATGTCTCCTTTCAATTTTTCCCGAAATCTTTAAAATACATTACACGATATCTGGTCGATCTAACTTTTGTAATCTTTACGATTTAGTTAGAGTTATTTTTTTTTTTAAATAGGTTTACGTTGAACGTGATTACGAAAAATATCTGCGACTGGAAATTTTCAAATGGCAAGCGCCGGAAACGTTCTACGGATTACATCCTAGTAAAAAAACCGACGTTTATTGCTTTATGTTGTTACTTTGGGAAATGTGCACAGGTTTTATATATTACTTTGTTTGTTTTAATAATAGTCGTTCTTTAAACAAATATTTTAATAATAGGTGTTGTTTAAGCTGAAATTTTTATTATTTCACAGGCAGTGTACCATGGAACGGATGTGATCAGTCAAACGAAGAACGTCACAATTCAATACAAAGACGCGATATCAGTCTAAATTTGCAGAATATCCCGTCAATTTCACCGACTCTTCGTGACTTATTAGAGATTGGGTTGCAATCTGACGAAGCGAAAAGAACGTTAGACATGGACAAAATAAGCAGGAAACTTCACAGGCTGCTGGTAAATTTCTTTGATATAATATGTATATATGTGTATTTTTCGATATCTTTTTGTGTTGAAAAATTAGTGAGTTTCATTGAGAGAATAACAATAATGATCACATGATTTGCAATTTATTTATTTTAAGATGATACACGAAGAAGAAGAAAGAGAAGCCACGTTTATAAGTGTGCACAGTACTGGTGCTAACATTGACAATAGTAAGGATTCTTTGGAATGCACCATTTACGATGGTACATTCTGTGGAAGAACTTCCTCTCCTTCGTCACCCGTACGAACTACAATATTCAATCAAAAACCACTCGCCGAACAATCACACCACACACCGACCAAAGAAAACCCTTCCAGTCGCCGTGTCATTTCCAAAGAAATACAATGCAAGCTGGATTCCAAAATTAATACTGAAAAACCAGAGACGTCTTCATTGAGTATTATAAGTCCTGTGAAGGTGGAAATAAATCCTTGCGTTCATTGTGCAAATATTACTAAACTAGTGGGAAACATCGACGAGAAGAGTAACGCCCGTGCTAATATAAAACGACTGAAAGAACTAATAGCTAGTAGAAGGGAACATTTCTTCTCTGGAAACAAGCCGTTCTCTCGCTTGAGCAAAGGTAAGTGGAAGAAACAGATGTTGAGGATTTGTTTATTTTTTAAGTTTTATAATATTCTGTTAAATTTCCCTCGAATATTGCAATTAATAGTTTTTTTTTTTGATAATTTTTTATTGTTTTTTTTATTATAGGCCCAAAAGCTACGAGCACAATATTGTTAAGTGAAAATAATGAAAGTAATCTCGATAATGAAAGTAATATCGATTACGTACCATGTAAACCAGCAAGTCACAAAACTACTATGGAACCTAAATGTAATAAGTTGTTTGTTAATTATAACGGGATTGCAACACAGAAGACGAAACAGGTGGTACGCCGAAAGGTAATTTTTCTCTATAGATTTAATTCAATTTTTATTGTTTTCAATATAAGAAACTTAAGAATTTCTCTAAATTCACTATAAACTCGCACAATAATGTTTGAGAGTAAATTCAATAGCATTCTATTCATCTTTACTTTGCTTTTATGTGTGTTGCGTAACAGCCACCTTACACGAATATGTCTGAGAGCATTAAGCAAGCAATAATACAACCTCAGGTTTTGCATCCTACTGCTGAAAGTTTTTACGAATCAGCGTTATGGAGAAAAGAGAAAGAAATTTGCATATCACGGATGCATCGTGATAGCAAAGAATACGAAGTATATATACACTAATACACACAGATATTTATTTTATATATTATTGTTTTATATCGTTATATATAAACTTCTTACAGTCAAAAGCCCGCGCGAAAAGTATTTCGGTACTATTTTATATTCGATTTTATATTTTTTCAGTATTTGTCACAACAATCAGATAATCATGTTATTGACAGTGACAGAGCCCAATGTTCCAAACCACATTCGACTACTATTAATACTACATATAATGTAATACATGGTAATTTGAAAAAAATCCATATAAATTTTGTTTTCGGAAAAATTTTATATAATAAATTAAGAGACGCTTTTTTTTACATATCGTTCTATCATCCTGGACAATATATAATTATTTTAATTTTTTATTTTGTGTACGAAGATAATAACACTGAAAATATCAAAACTGATGCGGAAACATTATTGTCAAAATCAGTGGCATTTGATCTGGTATCTTCAAACAAGTCGTCAGACGACATACGAACTGCGACAGACGCTGTTGAGCGTGCGATGAGTTTAGTGGAACAAAATTTACAAAACTGCAAGAAACAATTGTTTGAAGATCTATATGAAACGAAACACAACGAGAACGAAAACATTAAAGTTATCGAGACATCGACATCTGACAACGAAAATTTTCTGGGAATGAGTGAACTCGCAAGCCCGGAAAACACTGACAAAGCATCTTCAGAATACACTGACATTTTCAATCAAGCTTTTATAGCAAGTAAAACGTTTAGTTTCAGCAGTAAGATATCAAACGAATCTCCAATATCACTGTCTGATCAAGAATCAAAAACTAATTTCCAAGAAATGAAAAATGGAATATTCTCTCTGAATAAGAAGCCAATCCCGCAGCGAGATCAAATAGATTTTGAGCGGAATAAGAAGCGGTATATCAACGTAGGTAGTACCACGAAAAATATTGTTATAAAAGACGAAATAAGAAGACGTTCTTTACCCGCGAGACTAAATAATGTGCCAGTGCCGTTCAATTTGGAAAATAGAAATGTAAGAACAGAAACGGTTGAATTTATACATGTTTTAGTTATTAAACTATTATTGATGTTCTTATTATGACATTAATATTTGTTATAGAATACGGACGGTAGCCAATTTACTCTAAAGAATAACGACGGTACATGTTATATCGACGATGATTACAAACGTAGATCACAATTAAATTGTAATCTGATGCTTTTCGATGATTACATAGATTTATCAGAGACCATTGGAACCATTGGAGACAGTGAATCTCAGACGACAGAATTGTAAATTTTTTATCAATTTAATTTGTTCTAAATTGTAAATTAACGTAGATTCAAATGTTTTTTTTTACTCATACTCACGTTTGTAAAACTTGTTTCATTATATATCTTTATTTATGCCTCCTTGACAAGATAAAATCAATCGAACTTTCGTTATATCATAATGATAAAATTAATATAAACACTTAATGTAATAATATTTGCTTAGTTTTTATCGCTTATAATTTATATAAATGCAAACAATATTGCACAGTTATTTGAAACAAAATAAATGTTAATAACATCAACAACTTATCAAATTCAGTTTACTGTGTACACAGATATAAATGATTCAGAATATCTTGTATACAGTTCTAAATTATTTGTTGAACAAGTGCGTGTAATATTTTATATAAACGTGCACACTTATCTTGTGCAATAAAATATGTAAAGAACTGCAATCGACATCTCGCGTTTATTTCATATAAATTACAAGTAGATAAAAATAATACCAGCTTTCATATAATAAAAAATATTTTTTAAAATATTTTTTGAATGTACTTTATATATGATTCGCTAAAACATGTGGGCACAACCGGGAAAGAGATAATTGTTTAAATATAAATCAAATGTGTAGAATAATAGCAGAGCTGGATTGATCGTTACTATATAAATCTTTGATATCATCACAAATATTTCAATAACAGTCAGTGTATAATAATAATTTTTAAGAAGTACACTTTTATTTAAATAGAGCAACTCAAAATGATAAGATTGTTAATAAAATTATGTGTATACAATATACAGTTTTTAAGAGCTTTATTAAACGGAGTATTCTTTTTTTTTAATCAAAATATTAATAATTTAAAGGTGTACATATGACGAGATTATTTCAAGATCAATTAAGTGTGTCAGAAATAAATAAATCAATTTTTTAATCTTTAAAATTGATCTTTTCAAAACCTAAACGAACATTTTATTTTTACATTTTTGACTTATTTTTGTTTACATTTTAAGAATCTTCTTTTCCCAGTTGTTCCATCATATGCACGTGTCTAATTTTATTAAATAATATTTTTTGATACTTTATTATTTAATTAAAAAAATCTCTAATACGATATATATATACAATTATTTTTTATTCAACTAACTATGACGTCTATCATTTTTTTATATGCAAAAATATCGAGTTCTGTTAATGACTTTAGAACAAAAACATATTTCGAAAAGTAGCTTACTATATCGCCAAAATTAGTGGGTTTTTTTTTCAAAAAGCTTATAAGAAAATTATTTAAAGAGCTAGTCCAAAAACGGATACAATGCAATACATAGTTTTGTTTTCCCAGCGTACAGTGCAGCTTCCATCGGTAGAATTATCCCAATAACATGAACTAGCAGTATGAAGTCCGGCACCGTTCTTCTGCATAATTGTACAAGTCACTGCAAACATAATTCATTCGTAACAATGACAAAATTCAAAGAAAATAAAGTCATATGAAAAGAGACAGTGCAGATACTGCACACAGATATATTTCTTTAGTCTTGATTTAAAAAAACATATATATGCTGTGCGTTAAAAGATTTTAGTTTACATTACATACCAATGTATTTGTAAGCCTTTTGCAATTTTGTCAAATTGCCTAAACATGCTTCCACAACATTAGAGGTCCATTGGTTCACTTTATTGTGCTGATAAGCATTGCCACCTATTGATACTTCAATGGCTTCTTTAATAATATTGCTCACATCATCTACTATAAACTGTAGCTACAATCAGAACAAAATAAATTATTCAAAAATTATTTCACACAAGAAAATTATATGTGAATAATAGGTAGCATAACTTTTGAAAAGTTTTGATCTTTAAATATCGTTGCTGTTTGTTTGACATTGAATGCTGAATCTAAATGTGACATTGTTTTGTTCAGCATTAAATAATGAACATAATAGAACATAAATAAATAGTTTTAAAAGCGCAATAAAAATGATTGCAAGGAACTAACCTCCTCTGATGTATCCTCCATTTCAAATAGCAAAGGGACTGCTTCGAAAATATACAAACTTTCAGTGATAAAAATGATCAAACTTTATTTATTCACAACTCTGGATGATATGTTGCTGATTTTAGCATATCTGAAAAAATAGAAATAAACATTTTGAAATAACGAAATCATTGCTACACAGTATAACGCAAATAAACTTCACGATGCAAAACACGATTTAAGTTTTTAATAATTCAGATTGCACAAATACAAATGTTTCGCGTTAAATTAGCAACAAAATAATTGCATCACATAAATAGAATTGCCGTCTTTGTCGTAATTTCTTATATTACACTATTTGACAGTTACCTTCTCAGTTACACATGCAAATAAATACAGTTTGGTCTCAGCAGTCACACACAGTCAAGTAATAAGTCAACTGTCACATCGCGTTGCTATGCAGAGGTTGTCAAACTATTTTCTATCCAGAGTTTGTCGTCTCAATGGCCGCGTTCAGCAGAACTCAGCGCTTAGTAAGCGCTTTACGCTTATTGCTTGTCATTGGAATATACTTTCATATTTCCAGCGGATTTACAAGAAGAGACCAATCACAGACAATAAGCGTAAAGCGCTTACTAAGCGCTGAGTTCTGCTGAACGCGGCCAATGGCTGCGTTCAGCAGAACTCAGCGCCTGGCAAGCGCTTCGCGCCTATTTGTCTATAATTGGTCTCTTTTTGTAAATCTATTGGAACTATGAAAGTACAAGCCAATGGCAAGCAACAATAGCCAAGCGCTTGCCAAGCGCTGAGTTTCTGCTGAACGCAGCCAATGAGTTTGTTTTTCTCAATTTGGATTCAATTTTTTTTTTTATGTAAATTTGTAACACATCGTGTGTCTTTCCGTACTTGTACAATGAAATAAGTTTTTTTTATTACAGTTTTATATAACCTTTTATCTCGTATATTTATTCTTTTATTAAAATTTGTATCGTTGCATGAAAAAATCGACTTTTTATTCTCTTCAGATAAAGAACCTCTGCCGCATAGGAACTTTGATCGAATGCAAGTTGGCAGATCTGCGGCTAATGGCGATCAGTTCAACCGCAGCGCTCACGTCGGTTGCATCGCGAAGCAGTGTTTTGAAAAGTAACGACCCACGCGTTTGGTAAATCGGTGCGTTTCGTGCGTTTCGCTCGCGTTTTGACGGGAAAGATACACGAAAAATTATGCGGTGAGACTGTCGGGACAATGGCGGAATTCGAGGACACGCTCGCGAGGACGATGGATCTTGACTTGTAAGTAAAATCACCGATATTCTCTCTGTTTACACGATACTTGCTTTGCTTCGACGGTCAACAATACAATACAGACGATCCACCACTCGTCATTCATGTATGCGTGCTGATTTAAATTTAGACACACACATTCTAGTATTTCTCAGTCACTGACAGTCACTGATGAAAAAAACTTGTCCAAATCTTTTGTGATTCTGTGTGTGTGTATTTCTCGGTAATTAAAAAAATAATTTACATTGCCGATTTATTATAAAAATTTATGCCGATAAATTGTATCGACATTTTTTTCGTGCGCGTATTTATATTATTTAAACAACATACCGCTGCTGTTATTTTGTTGATATGAAACGAGCTCTGAACTCAAAGTAGAATGAAAAAGATGACATTAAGTAAACCATGTGTGTGTGTCATGTAACTCCGCACGACTGCATATATTTCACAATCAATCGTGAATTCACTCACTGTTTGCATTAAACAGTGATTATCTTCCGGGGGTTAAAGGTCGTTTGTGTGGCAGTGGTCATCAGTGTCTTATTTATCGTTTCGATTAGAGAATTACAGACGAACACAGTGGAAGAAAAGAGATAATTTAAAAAAGAGATTATTCACAAATTGCTCAAACAATTTTGAAAGGAATTTTACGATTAAATATCTCTCTCATAGTTATATAAAATTTTAAACAAGTATAATCTGAATTTTTTTCCGTCGAGAAAATAATGAGGCAAAGTCAAAGTAATTATTTTTCATTTATATCGATCGATTACAAAGCGTTGAATCTCTCAATCGGAATTTAATTCGTATTTTTGTCCCATTCTGGCTCTCCTTTCTGTCATTCGCTGTTACCCCATGCTCTCTCCGTGTCTTTTTTTCATCTTTTCTTCACCTCTTTTATGCGCGTTTCCTTTTTTTTTTTTTTTTTTCACTAGCATATGTGCGTGCTGTTTTCGTCGAGTTCCTTTTTCCCTTCTCTTTGATCCAACTATACAGCGAAGCGTGTACACTATCACACATTGATTTACACGTCCGTTGATATCGAAGAGAGAGAAGGAACAAATATGCGTATTTGCGTGGTTTAAGCTGATGTTCAAGTATCTTTCTCGTTTAATCATTAAACAAAATAAATTGGAGTTGATTTTTTATCATTTTTATACGCGGTGCATCTTAAAATTAAGTTAAAGCTCTTGAACAAAACGAAGACTATTTTTTTAAAAGAAAGTTATTTACGCGCTATTAAAAAATATTTTAAATGTCATTAAAAAGAAATTAGTCCGAAGAAAACAAGACTCGAAAAATCAATGCTGTTTAATATAATTGAATTGAATTATTATTTGGAAAACCAAATTTTTTTTACAGAGAAAACTATTTTCGATTTTGATATTTTGCTATAAAAAATATTTTTACTGTTTTTAAATATTTTTTTAAATTTTGTTTTTCATCTCGAATATCTTCGTATTTCGTTGTCAGGAGCCGACGCATGCGTTTACGTGAATCTCTTCGCAAACAAAATAGCGACCGTTGAACAATACCCGTTAACGATAACGAATCCTCATTATTATAAGTCGTAGAATAAAAGAGAAGAGAGGATGCTCTCTGTCTCTCTTTTTTTTTTCTTTTTAATTACGCTTTGATGCCTTTTTTTTTTTTTCAAACGCGGCGCATCCTCTACATCTCTTCCTGCGTCTCTCCTCCCACCATCGCCGCGCTCTCCTATTTCTGCCCGACTCGCAAGTTACCGTCTATCGCCAGTTGTCTTTGGTGCGTCGTGCGTGATACGTATAACGAGAGTAAACGGGTGTTGAAAACGTCGTAATAATTCCGCGGTGCGTCGCAGCTTTATACGCAATCGGATCGAACAAACAAAACACACGGGACTGACGCGGGATTTTGTGCGCGTGACAAATTGCATTTTCAATCCGCAGCCCTCTTTGCATTTTTGGGAAAACGACATCGTCGCGAGAGACGAAATAGCCGCGTTTCATTCTCGAGCGGGAAAAGAGACTGTTTATTTGGTGAAGACTAACGAAAAAACGCGACGAAGGAATTGGAACGTCAATCAATTTCTCACAACCACATAGACAATAATCTTGAAGTGATACACTGCGTCGATCTTGTTCTCTCTCTATAGTCAGATCAATAATTTCCGCAAATTGTCGCGAATCAATTGCGTACATTATCGCCGATGATCCTTCCCGCTTTGGCGCGTCAACCGATCGTGATCATCGCGCCATGTGAGACCCGATAAGGAGAATTATCTGAGGCGTCATCTCGAGAGCGAGAGTCATCCCCATTGATCGGTCCAGAGCGGCATAGTACATTTGCGCTAACGCCGCCGCCCTCGCTCGGTGTCTCGGGGATTCGTCCTCGATTTTTGACCCGCGTCCGAGGGTGCCATGACTTGTTTACGCGAACACGCGAGTGCAGTCCTGGAAATTGTTCGCGGTGGATCGTCGTTCGCGAGGACCTGATCCTTTCCGAAGACGATACTCTTCGTGCAATTCTCGTTAGTGTTCAAGACAGTTTTTCCATCGCGAGAACTAGCTGAAAACACAGCTCGTTTCGTAAACAGTGAATTGTTTTGTACGTTTGGTTTATTCCCCCCCTCCTCCCGTGTTTTCGTCTATTTTTGAAAATTTAAAGGAAAACATCGCGGTAACTTTGCACACAGTGCCGGATTTTAGTGCGAGATATTTATGTCAACAATTATTGTTATTTCGTGATTGTTGATAAAACTGCCGCTACGATGCTTCTTGGTGGTTGCCGATATTACACCCAAAATCAAAATGAACCGTCCACGAGAGCCAATTGGGGTCTTTACAACTCTTTTCGCAAGTGAGTACAATTTGAGCACGATTGATCGTCTGATTGATCGTTAATCGATTGATTTCTGAACTGGGCGCGTGATTCTCGTTTCGTTATTTCAATTGGCAACAATTATTATACGTGTACATATTTTTTTTTTTTTTGTAGACATAGCATTTGTCTCTAAGTAGATGTTAAATGCTATGTGTGATTCGAAATAGTTTCTTTACCGTTTATCACGTTGACAAGATAATAAAGATACGAGCTATCAAACAAACGATACCGAAAATAATCTTCCGCTGTGCCGGGTATATTGTCAACGTCAAAAGGGTTAATGTAGCACACAAAAGGTTAATGACAAGACTCGTCTGCCTCGACTGTGCTCTTTTATCGCGTATTCTTTGTCGTTCCACACGGAACATTTAGCAGACATTTGTTATAAATATATACATTTCATCAATCTCTCGTAGAGAAAACGAGAGTTGAAAAATAATAAGATTTAATGGTTTATATACAAATTACTATATTATTTTCTTTTTATTTTCTTTTTCAAAAACAAATCAATATATATTTGTCAAATATATAATTATATATTTTATTATATGTAATTTGACTACATATAATTTTTTATATTTCAAATATATTTGCATACTATAATTATTGTAACAATAGTTACATTCTTGCAATAATTTGTACATGTAAATAAGAATATATCAGCACAGCTATTGCAAACGCAAATGTGTTACGTCAGATACATTGATCTGCATATTTGAGAATTTCTCTTTAAATAAAACGTTATTTTACAATGAACCCGATGCATAAAATTTGAATAACGATCGCATAAGTTGCGCGATTTTTAATGCAGTCTAGCAAATACTTTTATACCTGAACGCGCAGTCAACGACATCGTGTTGTAAATAATGTTCCACTGACGGGATCTAGCTAATTATTTAAGTGGCCAGTCAATTCGTTTAACAAACCGTTAATTGAGGAAACTTTGCACTCCGAACACCTACATGCTAGTCAGCTTTTGTAACCTATTCAATGCCTGAATTGTCTTGAGTGGAAGTCATTCTGCTTGTTGTTTATCGAATAAATAAACCAATTAAGCAGTTTTCAACGAGAAAGGATTCAAAATTCAATTCCAGAGTCAACGTCATGTGGCAAAAACTTTTTATTTCTACACGTAATTGTGGAATTTAAATTTATTTTAATTAAACGGATTATTCAGAATATATTAATTATACAGTGGCATAAACTTGAATAATAATAGTAACGAGATAATATGCGACTGAGATATAGTTTGTTGTTGGCTACAATTTGTTCTACTTATTTTTTATCTATTTTCATTTGTTTATTTTTTTTCTTATTTTTTCAATTTGCTCTCTTTTGGAACTTAGATCGGCACAAAAGAGCGATAACAAGCAATTAAATCAGAAAAGATTGTTTGATATGCTCGGCCCTTAATGCAGTTTTAAGTGTACTATTTTTAACAGGTATCAAGTGTTGAGGTGCGTGCAACGCTCGGTCCATGTGGCTGCTGCTGCTGCTGCTGCTGCACTCGACTGTTATACATACTCAGTATTGATTATTCGCTACATCCACCATCTTGTCAGATGATGGCAACTAGAACGCTGGCGCTTTCATCAGACTGTTTTGTTCTTTATATCTCGCGCGTTGCAATTATTCTTGTCTGAAAATTATATTAATTAATTTATTCTCTTACACTCATTATGTAATATAACAGATAATTAGTAGATTATTATTTACTGCTTTTTTTTTTTTTTTATTGAGTCTCATGTTGTACGTGTTTTTTTATTGCATGATTATTTTTTTATTTGTAACTCTAATTGCAATGTATTACTGTTTCGAGAGACACACGGATACTAAAAATTTTACACGTGCTGTTAATTCGAATTAAATAGCTAATTATCGATCAATTGTAAAGACACGAAGAACATTGCGTTTGTATAAACGAAAGCGCAATCGTTATCAGTCCTCGCCCGAGAAGATGTGTGTACTATCTATCTGCAGTATAAAGTTGAATCACCCTTTAAACGTCACAAAAAGCACATAAATGAATCATAGTACATATCACGTAACGCATCATTATACCCGTGAAGGAACTCAACGCTCACCGCCGAGTTATCGCGTAATAATACGCGTCTTACACTCGGGCCCTTTAGCGTCGGACCGACATCCAAAGTCGTCGTGTAAGATTCCGAGAACTCCGTATCCGGATTGGTTGAACTCGGTGGCAAGGGTAGCTTAAATATAAACAGTTTGTCGAATGCGTAAGGGGTGAGACCGAAAAGACCGACGCTTCTGCGTATTTTTGACAGTCACTTGCATTTGCGCAGCTCGAGCACGTTACCGAGATCTCTAATTAATCAAATCGAAACATTTCGTGTCAATGTTCTGTATATTTCTCGATCAAATTATTTTTTAACGAGTTATCGTTATGTTGTTTAATTGTAAAAAGAGTTTTGTTGATAAACAATTGGCGCTCGCGATGTTCTTTCGCTATTTTTCCGCATTCGGCGTCTCTCTTTGCTTACATTATTCAATAGCTTTTGTTCGTTTTTTAAGTTTAACAAAAAATTGACATTCCAGTAGACTCAGGCCGGTATTCATAGTCGGATCTTACATTTTAAAATCGTATTGAGTTTATCTTGAGATGATGTGCGAGTAGTTTCGTCGGTTGCAGAGGATCTGGAAATGAACTTGAGACGATCTCAAATATATGATTCAACTATGAATACCGTCTTATTGTTAGACGACAAAAAAGACTTTAAAAAAAAAAAAGAACATATATAAATGTTTCTTCGAGCGTGAAGTAAATCTCGAAGTATTTTCGGAGCGAAACAAATTACGAGTGACATAAAATACACATTCTATTTCTCCGTACGTCACATTCCGATTCCTCGTTATGCAACGACAATATATGGAATTGTGACATTACCTTCCTTATGTCTACCACATGTTTTCTAATTATAACCGAAGATTATACATACGGCGAACACCCGGTACGCATCGCGTACGGGGAGATCTTTCAATTCGCACAAAAGAATCTGATCGCAAGAAAACATATCGTGCAAATAATTTGTAAGAGAGTTTTAACGTTTTTTTCAAAGAACAAATAAAATCAACCAGGGCATGTAAGATCTCTATTGTCATTTTTCTTTTTATTGAATTAATTGTTGCATTCAATCTGCGTGTAAAAATTTGTGATTCGCGGCGGATAAGAAATTTTCTATTTTGCGGAGCGCGCGAATTTTCGAACACTTGATACAAATCTTTCCTCAGTGAAATATCTTGAATATTTCGCGAAACACACGTTTTGTCGGAGGTTTTACGTTACGACCGCGCGAATATTTCTCTCACAATGTGTCGTCTTTACTATGAAACGCGATACTCTTTGCACAGATTCCACGCGTTATGATTCGCGAACGCTTCCCATAACTATTTCTAGCTTACACGAGGTGCCGGTAGATAGACTTCGCGAAAGAATCTATTTGCCTGGATACCACATTTTGGCTTTCTGGAGAGATCAGAGAAAATTTGGTTGGCAACACGCTGAAATGTATTGCCGTAGCCATTATCGTTTAATACAGCCAATTTGCATCTAAATTTCTCGTGTCGCCGCGATTATCACTTGTCGTGATTTTATTTTTGTTTGTTTGTTTTGTTTTTTTTTTTTAGCTTATAATATGTCCGCAACAAAGAGTATAGAGATCGTGTTCGCGTAATCGACTGGATGTGGTGCAGAATAGCTTTAAAACACATGCGGTGCAGCTTAATTACTCATTTTACGTCGCAGCGCTACGGAGGAGGAACCGGAATAGGATTTACGTGAAATCTAAATAAAACCTTACTGGAAATCTTGCGGTTGTTTGCGTCTTTCTCTCTCTCTTTCTCTTCGTCTTTCTCTATCTGGTCGAGACGGCTCGGCTGCAGAGCGAGTTAATAAACTAGCGTAAACTCTCGTAGAGGAACATTTTGCGCCTCCTTAAATTACTACACACGGTAATGACTTCTAAGCAGAGCTACGACCCGGACGGAATAAATTCTGCATAAACGATTAATTTGCAACGAGCACCGTTCTGTGACCATTACGAGAACGGCTTGTTAAAGCTCTTAGCCCTTTAGATCGCGCGGTTGTGAAATTATTGTTGCATACAAGAGTGAAAATCCTGGCGAGAACTGCTGTTTTATTACTGTTGGTATTTTTTACTATGATATAAATAGTGTATTGCTATTTTTTTTTTTACTATAATATAAATAGTTTTATTGCTGTTTACTAGCATTATTTTTATTATGTTTTTTTTTAAATTTTTAATATGAATATAGACAAATTTATCGACGACTTGATTTTATGATTTATCGAGATAGATGGAACGAGACAATGAAGTTACTCAGTTAGATAAAATTGTGTGTGTGCATCTTCTTCTCAAAATTTATAAAAAAAAAAATCTGATAAAAAAACGTGATGATGCGCTATTAATAGCATTGGCAACACTTAGGGCAAGTCTTACTCTCTCTCTGCTCCTGTAAATCATTGTGATCTTACGTGTCGAAGTTGGCTTTGTTATGTCAGTTTTTTGGCTTTAAACGTGCCATCGGAGCCCTGGAAATAGAACGCTCGTCGATGCTCGCTTTAAATCTGTTCAAGAACGTTATCTTATTCGAGTACCAGTGCTATTTCCCATCAGGATACCTCGCGTATACCTTTCGACCATTTTTGGTTGTGTGTTCCGAAGATATCTCGTTGCTCTCTCCTAACATCAGCAAATAAACATATCAATTTAACGATGTTGCTCTTTGTCAATCGAATTTCAAAATAATATCAACGTATCAAATTGTATCTAATATTACTTTGTTTGTTTATTTGCAGCACAAATATGCCGTTGCAGGACATCACGATGAGTCAAACCCTGCCATTAACGAATGGTGAGTTAAATTAATACAATCTTTTTTAACGTTCTGTTTCTTTTTTTTTTTTTTATTTTTTATTTCATATATTTTCAAAACTTATTTCTCGTCATTGTGTTAATTAACCTTTGAACAAGTAAACAATGAGGTTTATGAATTAATTTTTCTCCGTCGATCATCTGATGATGAGGCACAATATAATTAATATTTTCCGTACCGAAGAGCGCACCCCTAAGAATAGCCGGATGTGATTTTACGCTCTATAAAGATGAGGGCGAGGCGGAAGATCGTATAGCGCGCGATAACACTCGTATTTATTATTTACGACCTTGTAGCGACGATTACATCATATCGACCGAGATATCTCGATGATCGGCTCGTCACTTGAATAAATCGTCATCGATATTGCGATACCCCATAATAGGGTGTCTCGATTATGTCGCTTTTTTTCTCTTTCTCTCTCTCTCTCTCTCACGTCCGTCTTTATTGGTCATTTCCCTTAAAGTAATTGAACTCCCTCCGCTTATGTTTCAATTGCAGCTGTAGACACAATTTGCGCTATGCTTCTAGGTGGATATCAATTATATTTCAGTCCCGTCCGTGAAGGGTGTGAAACGGATATGAGAAGACAATCGACAGCTGGCAAAGCGCGTTCTCTGACAATAATGAGATCGAACTCAATTATAGACAATGTTCACAAGCTTCGAAAGAGAAATGCCAAGCCGGACCGAAAAAGCGCGCTTCAAACAAAATTGTTTGAAGAAGATAGCACGGAGTTTGCAAATTTGTGCGTGATGGTTATTAACGGCTCTAGCAAACGTTGTAGCGACATCAACTTTTCATTAATATCTATTAGCGCAAATTGACGGATGCTTCCCTTCGGTAAACATATTTTCTCAATTTTCCACGCACACGTGCGTTCGCGTTCGCTCGTAATCGACTCGCACTCACGACATTCAACGCACTTGCTGCAGAGCCAGCGTAGGAGGTCGCGTGGCGTAATTTGTGCGCGAGACAGACGGGGGCACACACACAGAGCTCGTTACTCCCATTCGCACGATCTGCATTTTCCGCCGTTATTTGCCTCATTGCAGTCGATTGTCCGACATTAAGCGGAGGTGCCGTTTGCACACGGATCAGTGAGAATACGTGACACCGTGGGCCGCCTAATTGTATCTCACGCCCGTGATGGGGCCAACGAACTTTCTTGCTCCGCGGTTTTACTCGACGCCGAGCGTCGCCGACGAGTGTTCGAGTAAAGTAGTACAGCACTCTCGCGTTGGAGAAAGAAAGAGAGAGAGAGAGAGAGAAAGAGTCTGCGCTCTGGATCATCACACAATGTGTTCGCCAACTGCGTTATCTCCGTTTATCGAGATCGCTATGTCGGACGTTCTTGATAAACGGGGATCAAATTAAAAACACCCTTGTGCGCAATAAAGCTCGTTACACACTCCGATTTATTAAATGTCGTTTGACATAAAAATGAAATATAATCAATATAAATCAATATCTTAGTTTTTTTTTTAATCAAAGTTTTGACACAAATGGAATGCGGCAGTGGATATAAATATCTTTATCATTTCTATGTTTTTTTCGAAATCAAAGGTTTTATTGAAATCAAAGTATTTTATCATTTGTAAACAGAAGAGTCAGATTAGTTGACAACTATTACGCAAGAATTTTTTTTCCATAAATAACTTAATAAATTAATAATTTTTACTGAAACTTAAAGAAAAAATTTCGTTGGCGTTTTTATACACATATCCGAAATGAAATCAATTTTTGCGAAGTTTATCTCAAATATTCCGACTCTCGTTCGAAAGAATTGAGCAGCCTAACTTTTAAGACGTGTCTTACGTCATCGTCAATTTAGCAGTGCTTGAATTACAGCAATTGGAGCACGTCCGCACTTTGATTTGATTCTCGATAGGAGATCTAAAATGGTAAAATGGTCAAGGTCATGGGTAACGTTGCAAACGAGATGTGGCTCATGAGAGCGAATTCATTTGATGTTGCATTTTTTTTTTGTTTTTTGTTTTTTTTTGTTTTCAATCCCGCGGATTGTTTGTGTCGTCTGAAAAATGTCAGCCGCCGTGATCTCGTGTTACATACAGGAAGCGGGCATTTATTTCGGTGGTCCTGAAGAGCGCGTTCGATGTGTAGGGGAGAAAAACACACGCGCAAACGACACAAACCGTGTAGCGAGAGACGTGTATTTATTTCTGGAACACACAGAAGAAGATATATAATTCCGTTTTATTTATTTGCACGTTTGCGACTCGATTCGTGGAAAGTAGTCTGTATTTTTGAATATTTAATAAGGTGTAAAAAAAAGATTTTTTGTAAATTACATATCTTGTAAGTTAACGTACAAATATCTTTTTATTATCCAGTTTATCCAGGTGTCGATTCTTTTATTTTATCGTATTTATTTCATTTTATTCTGTATTTTATTGTATTCTTTCATTTGTATTCATTCTTTGTTATTTTGCATGAAAATTTATGAACTTAGAAAAGCAAAAAACATTTAGAGAACGTTCAAGAGTCATTACATTTCGTTAAGTGATGCTCGACGAGTGGACCCAAGTAGTTTCGGTGGTTCTCAATTTCTTTGAGTATCGCCTCTCAAGATGTTCATATATTGTACGTATAAATATATCGAAAAAAATTATCTACACAAAGACTGTGATAGAAAAAAATAACAAAAATCGGAAAACCAAGATGATCTCTCCAACGCATTTAGCGTCGCATCATTCAGTATTCTAAATTCTTTCGATTCTTTTCAATATTTTTCACAGTTCTCGTAATTATTTATTTTATTTTTTCATAAGATACGCTTTATAACGTTAAAATAAAACAATTTTGATATTTTTAAACAAATCTATACGAAATAGATTTTTGACTGAAATGATAAATAAATTGACTTGACGACATCCCTCTCCCCACAATCGGATCTTGTTGATCACAGACAGTTGGAACACCGGGTGTCGTCCGTTAACGTTCAAGCAACAAGCACGTGGCATCGCATCCTATGTAGTAGAGACGGGGGGCTCTCTAGAAATAAACGGAGAAATCGTTTGTTTCTAACTTAAATCTGCCGTAAGAATTATTGGCCGGTTCCTTGTTACCGGGGAAACGAGCGAGCCAAATCCTCATATTCAATTTCGCGTACGCTGCCAGAGACCGAGTACCGGGCGTTCAGAGCTCAGAGACGCTCAACACACAAAGACCATTTTGCGAATGACAGCACAACGTGGGATGACTCACATATATATAGACCAGGCCACTGTTTGCGCCCAAATATATGACATGTTATGATTAATTAAATAGAGAAACTCCTACTATATAGTATCATCGTATCCCTAATCTAAACGCATCGTAAACTTATATCTTTCTTGAGAAAATCATCGGTTTTTTTGTTTACAATGTTTTCCGTCGTAAAAATTGTGAGAGATCACTTGTGTAAAAATGTATCATTACAAGTCTACATAACTAGTTAGAGCGCTGAGAGGACGAAGTGAGAAGAGACGCACGTCGCGATTCAGAAATATATTCTCGTCGGGTCGAAATCGAGGGCAGCGGTCATCTCTCTGACCGGGGTGGTGAGATTTTAATTGCCGGCCGGTCCAGGCCAGATTGGAGATCTGAAAGAGAGTGGGGGACCTCGCGAAGCGGAGGCTGACCTGCCAAAATAAAGACAGTTTAAACCGTTCTGGCCTAAATGTGTCATCTATAAATACGCGAGTCTGGCTCGGCTTCGCTGGTCTATTCGCTGGCGCGAATCGATAAAATGCATTTGCCGAAAATCGCGGAACACACGTTGTGTTGAACGACAACAACAGCACGGATCGAACGGGCGGGATGTTATATAGATTTGATTCTGCTTGCGCGGCAACACAAAGCTCTCTCCGTCTTTTTCGCTCGTTCGAGTTTCCCGGGCTTTTTACGTCGGCTGTTTAAGACACATGATGTTTGACGATGACCGCTCGAGCGAAAGAGAGAGAGAGAGAGAGAGAGAGAAAAAGAGAGAATTTACGCTCACGTTTAACGTCACGACGACGACGACGTTAAACTTTACGCTTATGACCGAGTCTCTTCGTGCTCGTAAAAATATGCCTTGCTTTACAAAGGGAACGCAAAAAGATCGTGTTTTATTTGAACGCGATGCACGTGGCAAGTAACAAAATTGACAAAGTCTTCTCTGTGTGTTCCTTTTTCTTCAACAATCCGGGCAGTATTTATTTATGTTCGTGGTTAAACCTATACGCGTTAATGTTATATTAATAACATGACATTAATGACATGGATGATTAATATTTGTAGTCATTGTGTTTTTTTTTTCCTTTATTTTGTGAATGTCGCAACGGGCTATCTTCGTCACAGATAGACCTGTTTCACACGACGTTTTGGACACGAACTGCATGGAAAATGCGTAGATCGTTAATTAGACGAGATGAATCACTCGTGTTCCACGAGAGAATAATCGCTTCTAAGTAGCTTTATATATATGCGGATTTGTCGCGCAAAAACGTGCTCTATTATTATATACAAACATCGTACATATCTATGTATACTACATGTAAATCTGTACCTTCCGGTCTTGTTTTTGACAAATTTGTGAGAATTTTCTTGTCGGAATTTATTTCGGAAATTGCGCGACGAGACTCGCGCCGAAATTGAAACGCGAGATTTCAATCGCCGCCTTTCGGATCCGCGGTCAGACTGAAAAAGAAGCACGTGAGGATCAAGCCGACCTTCGTGAAATACATCTATACATTAACATGCGCGTTTAGAACATAATTTTAACCGCGAGTTGTAGCCTTGTGTCTTTGGGCGCTGCTTGTTATTTTGTCGCGGTTAGTATTTGTGCAGCCGCCGTGAAGTCTCCTTTGCGACGCGCGGTATAGCCTCATCTCGTCATCTCGTTTCTCTCCCTTTCGCGATTTCGCACGGACGTTTTTAAAAATGTAGCGACTTCACAAAACGCGCTCTTCGTGGAATGGGATGCGGTAGGTCGCAGCTGAGGCCTTTTCTCTTCCCGACGGACCGCGAGAACGAACCTATTAGGATCGAAGTCATGTTCGGTGAGGATAATTTTTCTTTTTTCGAAAAATTTACAAATTTCCCTTCTGTTTGCACGGTGACGTGTGCTAAACGTCAATTTTGTGACTAACGGTAAATTGGCAAATTGACGCGATTGTTAAGTTATGAAAGGTTATGGTTTATTGTTGTTGTTTGCATTTTATTCGTCAGCAATTGCTGGCAAGTGGTAAACGAGCACAGCTCTTCATCAGAGGCTTCAAGAATGTCTTTTATAAAGAGAAAGAGAGAGAGAGAAAGAGAGAGAGAGAGAGAGGAAAAAAAAAGAAATACGCTTTTTTAATTAAATCTTTCAATAAAATTGTAACTTGATACTATTAATAAATACTTATATAAATTCTTCCATTTATCTAATTAGAATTTAGATATGCAGTTAAAACTTGGATACATGTTAATATTATATGTAGTGCAACACAATTTGAAAGCAATTTTAATTTTGTTTCTTAGAGAATCAGCATAAAATATATATTAATTTAACATACGACGAATAGTTATAAAATGTTTGTCCCTTTTAACGAACGTTCGACAATATAATTTTGGCGCTTGACGATATGCCAAAATAATTTAATTTCAAAAGTACGTGGCAAATGGCGCCGTCCGTTCTTGCAAGGTGGATTTGGCACCGGTTTTCGTTTGCTTGGGCGAACTGAGAATAGATCCATTAATCCGACAGAAATCTTGTCTGAAAGATTATTTTCTCTAATCAACACACGCGAGATTATCACTACAAGAATCTTTTATTAGTAACATTGCGCGTAAAGTTATTCGTGAGATAAAAAGTCGATGTTCTTTTATCTGCATTTACGCTCTTTACACGTTCGAGACATCGAATGAGAAAATTCGAGTATATTTCGACATGAATAATTTCGGATTTAACGCGGTGCGTACGTACTACAGCATATTACGATTATTCAAAATTTCTACGGATTCCGTCAAGCACGTGTCGGACATGACGTGGTTAGAGTTGGAAACGTGATTATTTGAATGAGAGACGGAAAATTGAATTTGAGAACAAATATATACAAATTACTCGGCCTTGGTACTCGTCACGTTGCTCCCTTTCGAGATACTGCACGTGGACGCACACGTTGCTCCCTTTCGAGATACTGCATGTGGACGCACACGTTGCTCTGATACAAGTTTAACTCGAATTAAATATTTCGCGAAGATAAATAGAAAACTCTGTTACCTCGTAATAATAATTATGTGAAAAAATTGAGGTGTTTAAATAGTTCACGTTTAGACTTTGTTTTTAGATCATTCATAAGTTAGCGAGCTCTCAATCAACAAAACCACCACGTGTTACAGGCGGAAACACAAGATCCTATGGTGAAAACTCATCTGGGAACAAAGAGGGAACAGTTATGGCACGGCCTAGTGATGGCGGAGGAAGTTCTAGTAGCGGAATTGGTTACGGTAGAACCATGAAAGAGTACGAGGATCAGTTGAGCAGGTTGCAGAAGGAAAATTTCCAACTAAAATTGCGAATTTATTTTTTGGAAGAGAAGGGCGTTCCCGCCAACGTCAGTTCCTCCGACGAGACAAACATAGAATTGAAGGTGAACAAAGATATCATATACGTTATTTAAAAAGTGACAAGAGCTCTAATTTTGCAAACAAATGTCATCAATTATCATTGCTGATAAAATGATTGATTTTCAGGAGGAGTTGGAAAAATTGAAGAAAGAATTGGTAGAGAAGCAAAGTCTTCTCAATCAGGCTGCCAGAGCTTTGGAATTGTATGAGGAGCAAAAAGCAGCAACTGTCCGAACTCAAGAACAATGTCAACAATCGCTCGAAGAGGAACGAGAAAAAGTAACCAAGCTCGAGAAAGGTACGAATTGTACAATCAGTGATTGATGGCACACAATATATATGTAATGATATTGATAAGACTTATAAATACGTTCAAGGCGGTTTTTGAAGATTAAAAAACAAATGTAGTCATAGATGTCTTGAAAATATTCGAATTATTATTTTTGTTGACAACAAAAATATTTTATGTGTAGAAAACTACTTATTAGAAGTTATATTTTATATTTTTATTTATTTGTTTATGATCGATAAAATCTTTGTAATTATATTATTTATTTTGTTTTAAGAACTTTATTGGGATGTATAAGTATAAATATAAATATTCTATAATTGTTTTCTTGTGTATGTTTCAGAATTAGCGAAATATCAAGAAAAGGAATTAGACTCATCCGCGTACTACAAGGAAACATTTGGTATCACTCCGGAACAGGCGTTGAAAAACGTAGAGAAATTGCAACAGATGGAAGAACTGGTAGTTTCTCTCGAAGCAGAGGTAATGCAGAAAAAATATTAATAATCATCATTAATAATCATTATCGCTGTATTTTTAGCTTCGCGTTACTTTTTTAGTTAGAAATATTTATTGAAGATAGTTTTAAGATTTATTTATTTTTATTAAACACAAAAGGAGAAAGAAGATAAAATTAAGAATTTCTCTAAACGAACATCTATTTTGAAAATATTTTTCTCATTAAAATTACTCATTTTAAAAGTAGTGGAACATTATCAGCGGTTGTTTCCTTTTCCTGGCGTGAGTGGCAGTGTGAAATTGATAAGTCAGGGCGACACAGTCTTAAAAGACCTAGTCTAGTTAAAACATTCTCGTTTTTAGAATAAAATAGTTCATCATTACAATTTGCTTGGTTTGAGTTTGTCGACGTTATATTTTCTTATTGTTTTACAAAATATGGAAATATCAGGTTCTACTTGCTCATTTCTTCAATGTGTAATCGCATAATGTTGATAAAAAAAGAGTTCATCGTACTTGGTGCATGACTTATGGAAACGATTGTGTGATAGTTTGTATAATTTATGCGTGTGACTCTTGGGGCGTTCGCGACGCGGTTTAGGTAAAGCAGATAACTGGCAGTTTGGAAGAAGAACGTAATTGGGCGCAGGAACTTGAGAACGAGAGAGACCAGTTCAAGGAACGGTTAGAGGTAGAGATCCGGCTGCGGGAGAAACAGGACGGGGATCGAGTGAAGAGTATCGAGGAGTTACGTGATGAAACTAGAGAACTGCGCGAGGAAGTGAAGAAATTGAAGGAGCAATTGTTCAAGAAAGAATCCGTCGTTGAACAGTACAAAAACGATCTCGCCGAGCAGGACAGGTTGCTCAAGCAGAAAAACACGCTGCTGGAGGAGAAGTGTCGAGCGTACGAAGAAATCAGTCAGGTGTCCGAAAAGAGAAAAAAGCAAATCATTCAGTTGAGATCGTTTGTGAAGACGCGCGAAGACGCTCTTACGGAAATCAACAATAAGCATCGTGCGTTGTTATCACAGGTAAATTACGTAGATATTAGAAAACTGTATGTACATTTCTTTTTATTCTCTTTTTACATCTTATATAAATGATCGTTTTCGTATTTTGTAGTGCGAAAATGGTTATGGCAAGCGTTCCCCGCCTAGTAGTCCCACGACTATACTTTCTCTAACGAGCGATTCTCTAACACCTATGGGGCTAAGAATATCTTGCATTCAAAATACAACGAAAAATGATGGTGCTTACGATTGTGAATTTGGCAAAGAAAAGACAGAGTGGTTGAGCGTGGACAAGGATACCAAAGAGATAAGACATCTGATAAAAGTTAGTATAAAATACATATTTCTTTAATCGCTTATGCGATAAGATAATTCGGTTTATTTGAGGGATCGAAAATTGCAGACGCTGGAAGAGAAGGACAACGAATTGAGACGGAAGGAAGAGGATAGGAAGCATTTGATATTAAAATTGTGCAATACTCAGAAGCAAGTGGAAGATACGGAACAAAAGTTGAAAAAGTTGGAAGGGGAACATGAAAAAGCTGTTAAAACCATACAAGCGTTCGTGGAGCGCGAGCACCAAATGCGGGACGCGAATTCCCATAAGGAACGAAAAATCCTAGAACTCGAGACGGAGTTGCGCAAGAGAAGAAACAGCCACGATCTTGTATCGTTGAGGGATCTCGGTGTCAAGAACGACGCTGAAAACGATTCCTGCAAGCAGGTCAATATACATAAATTGCGATTAATCTTTGATCTTGTTTGCCGATTTCTACGTTTCAGAATAATTCAGAATTAGTTAAAATTGCGTTTAATTAGCGTATAATACTGTCACAAAAATGGCAAATATTATTTCAAAACATTCTGAAACGTGGACGTGTTTTTTGTTTCTGTCGAAAAGCATGAAATTTCCATCGGACACGTCATTTTTCTTCTTTTCTTTCAGAACCGCTAATCTACATCAGCATCTTTTTAACTTAATCTAAATTTCTTTTTTTTTTATCTGCTATTATCTTTATTGCTGCATGAATCTTATTGCTTGGACCTTTATTGCTTATTAACTGCTTTCTTTTCTATAACGCAGAAGTATTATTCTGAGAGTTTTTTTCTTTGTATTATTTTATTTGAAACGTTTATATATTACCTGATTTTGTAGTTTTTGTAATTTTTTAATGATTTTAAATGATATATATGCTAGATAAATTTTTATAATACATTTGTGGTACATTAATTCATTGCAGTTTATTACAACAATTATAATTTTAAATGCATTTAAGAAATTTATACATGATTTATTGTACATAGAAATGTTTTTTTTTTTTTTATAGTTTTTACATCTTGTTTAAAACAGTATTAATTTATTGTACATAATTAGTTGTATTGAAACTTTTCAAACAATTGCTTATACAACGTAGATTAACGATACGCGTCGAAATCGTTGAAACAGTTTTAAGTTTTATAAAACTATAAAAAAATTCTGTTTTTCTTTTTTTTTTTTAAGTATATATGTAGGAACGTGTGTATTGTGCGTGATATATATAACTTCGTTAATAAAAGATCATAGGTTTATATAATAATAGTAAGTTGTGTAAAAATAATGAAGAAATTAGAAATTAGATGAACTCAAAATAAAAAAACCAAAATATTTATTAAGTTATCTTACAAAAAAAAGTCGAAATATAATTTTTTTAAAATCTTTTTTTTTATTATCTATACTATTATTTCTCATTAGAAAAATCTCTTTTCCTCGTTTTCATCCTGCAATATATTTTCTGCACCTTATTTTCTCATATGTAATTTTTGCTTATCACATAAAACGTTACGCGTTTTCTAAAACAATTCGTATCGGTCAGCAAGAGATTTTTAAAGCACGAAATCTCAAGCCTGGTATCTGGGAAATACCGTGGAGAAGACGCGGTCGTTGTCTATTAATAGAGAGACCGTCGTCTCTTCTCGTAGCTTCTTGCAGTTTACGCGTCGAGATACGCGGCAGTCATACGAAAACTTACCTCGATAAGCCGCCACAGCTGCGGTAGTGTCGAACGAACATTTAGTACACAAGTACAGCGAAAATATAAACTTCATCACACCGATCTTTCAACTCTCGATACGACAAACGAAGATAACTCGCTCCGAAATATACATCGAAAATAATTCGCGTTCAACTTTTGACCGAGCGACGAGAGAAGAAATTACATGTCGATTACGTTGAAGAGAGAGAAACATAGAAAAATTGGCTCATACTTTATTTATCTTTTACTTTCACTCACAGAGATTGAAGATAAGACAGTTTTTTTTTCAATATAACGTCATTGTGGTTTTGTGGCAATCGGATTCGGATGTTGTAAAAAAAACTTAACATCGACGTGTAATTGACGTATTTTTATTAAGAACAGATATTCACCAGTGCTGACCGCGCTAGCACTGACGTAAGAATATCTGCATTTACATTCGCGAGTCAATTCGCTGCTTCTTTTTCTGGTCTGATTTTTTATTGAGTTAAAGCTTGGACTAAATATGTTGTCCTGTCTGTGTGCCTCAATGCGGATGGAGGTAGGTGTAGTGCTTTTAGCGCTGTCCTCGATACTTTTATGAGACTTGTTGTTCTGGTCCGTACAGTCTATCATTCTTTCAGCCATTTTCTTCAAGTTCTTTACTAAACCATTAAACTTCTTATTTTGCAAAAGTTTTAATTGCGTGTAGTAATCACACACACACACACACACACGTTGTTTTGTATTTTATTGTTTTATATTAAAAACGTTACTTTAAGTTAATTAGTTTCGTACAAAAAACTTATGAAATATATTCTTTGTATCCAAAGTTTAAATAAGTTAGTTTTTTTTTTTCAGAAAGGCAGGCTTTCTTTATAAGCAAAGAATCAGAATAAATTATAAGTGAGAAATTTGTTATAAAAATAAACGTGCTTTCCTTTTAGGAACCGGCCATTGTTACGCTTGTGTCGCCGCGATATTGGTCTAAGAGAATGAAAAGTTGACGAATCGTTCTTCTTCCGCATGAAAATTCCCGCTTATGTTTTTTCAATTAATTCTTTTATTATCATTTCTTTAAAGCACTCTTTCTTTTTACACATATACACATGAACATTTATCTGTAAAAATTTAAATATTTGAATAAAGTCTTTTTATCATCAAAACCCTGAAGTTACTTGAGTCTTATTGACATGGGACGATACTTTGTGCTTGCAGCAACGCTTCGAAGAAATGGAATGCAAGATTAATGATCTGCGGGACCAAGTCGAATCAATAAAAGCTGAGAAAATTCAGCTGGAGAAACGAATTCAAGTTGAATCTGAGGTACATTGTAAAACGCACAAATATATTTTATTTCTGTATTACACATTAATATATTTTTGCAAAATTGATTTTTTAACAGCAACGTTTATAACTAATGTTTAGTAGATAATGAATAACTACGAAGTGACTCGAAAAAATTAAAATTTTTTAATTTAGAAATTCTGTGACAAATATAAAAATTACAATACGTATCTAAGAAACTAACATATTTTTGTTCAATGTAATAATTTTTTATATCTTTTCAGTAACGTATATACTTTTTACTTCAGTTTATAAAAAATGTGTATATATATTAAACTTAAATCATGATTAACAACAGCTATAAGGTGAATTTGTCTTTCTGTTAGATCAAGTAATACGGTTTGTTATTATTTATTTCGTGTAGGAACTTCAAGAACGCCTTCACGATAAAGAGCAAAGAATCGAACTGTTGGAAAAGGAGAAGCAGACTATCACAGAAGAATTGAAGGACAAGATTGCCGAGCTCAATAAATTGAGACACACCGAGAACGATGCGGATGAAGTTAACACTATCGAGTTGCACGATGATACTTCGGGAAGGGACAAACTGCTTGAACAGCTGAATCAACGTAACGCCGAGATCGACGAGAAGAATCGAAAGATCGAGCAACTGACGAAGGAGCTGCAGATGACAACTCAGAATCTGCAGAAGCTAGTCAATACGGAACTCTGGAGCAAAAACAAGGAGATCGCCAAACTGCACAATCATATGACAGCATCGCACAGCCGCAATAAGACCGAAACCGTCCAGGAAACCGATAATTCGCAACTGACGAATCTGATTCGCGAATTGAACGAAATCGGCGTCAAAGTGACGTTCGCGAACGAAACCGTTCGACTGAATTACATGAACAGAAATGAGACGGTGGACGTGAAGACGTTGGGTGACTATGTACAGAAACTGACGACTCAGCGGAACGATCTGGAAAAGGAAGTGGACTACTTGAAGTGGCTGAAGCTCGTGTCGAAACCGGATATCGCTTCGGAAATCGACGATTGCGGCAACGAGACGGAACGAGTGAAGAAGTATTGCGACCTGCTTCGTACGCATCTGAAGGATCTGGTGAAGTTCATGAAAGAGATGCTGAAGAAGGATACCGATCGCTCGGACACCATCAGTAACGAACAGAAGAAGATTGTGCTAGACGTCTTGCTCCACTCTGAGATACTATCGGACAATTTTGTGCGCGCTCTTGAAGGCATATCTATGCCAGACGGCGTGGTTGCGAAGATGGTTGACAAGATTGAAAATTCTACAAAAAGAAGTCGTTCTGAGAATGTTGCTGAAACGACGAAGAACGAAGCGTCGCAGTCAGACTCGGAGACATTCTCGGAACCGGACCGAACCGTCTCGATGGCTAGAATCGGTCTGCAGGAGAAGCAACACAAAAATCTCAACCGTCCAAGATTCCCGAAGTACACGAAGACCTGTAGCAATTCCGAAGACTCCGCGGATTATGTGCCTTATTACAAGAGCTATCAAAACGACCTAAATGAGTTGGACACGAGTCATCAAATACAAGAGTTGAAAGAAACGAATAATATGTTGTATTCCGAAGTTAGCGCCTTAAGAAACGATCTGATTATGAAAGCTTCCTTCGATCGCGTAAGAACATATATTTGTAGATAACTACAAACATCTCGATCACTTATTAGCTACTTTTGTTAACGTAATCCATGATATATTTATATAATTTTATTATATTTCTCTTTTGAAAGTTTTAATTTTTAATATGAAACTTATGTTATATTCAATTTTGCACAGCGCAGACATTTACAAATAGACAAACTTTCTTCGCAGGCAATTGATGAGAAATTAACTCCTTTCATTTCAAAGCTGGACAAGTCCCAGAGATTTTGCGAAAAGTTGCAAATTTCTTTGGAGAAGAAGATACACGAGTTCCAGATGTTGAAAAAAGAGCACAAGCAAAATAGCATGCGTAAAATGGAGAAAAAGATGAGCGACGTCGAGCAAATGACGTGTGAAATGAACAAGCAGAAAATTGATTTCTTGCAATATAAAGAAAATACCGAAAGAAAGACCACGGAAACGTTATTAATTCTCAACAAAGAGAGCGAATCGGTGAGCAACTGTTGTTATCTCTTTGTGCTGTGTGACGAACTTTATAACGGAATGTATAACATTTGTAATTTTTTAATTTCAGTTGCGAGCGAGAATTAAACAGCTCGAGGAGGAAAACGAAACTGCCAAGGCAACCATATCCACTCTTAGAAAAGAATTGGATCATCTCACTCTCTCGCACAGTCAGATACTTGTGGAAAATACCAAATTGACGAACGACAAGTTGAGACTCGAGCAAGAAATAAGGAAGATGGAGAGCCGATACGACATGGCTGTTCGTACGCTGCACGATAAATTCAGCAAAGAGGTAAGAAGGAAGTTTTGAATATAACTCACAAAGCGTTCCCCCAAGTGTGTTTGATACTAATATATTACGGTGCGATCGCTACGCAGATATCCGATCTCAATCAGATCAACGACTTGCACAGAGCGAGAGTGCAAGAACTCGAAACAGCGAATAAAGAATTTAGGAGACACATGGCGGTGTGCGAGGCTAGTGATTCGGCGCCGAGTTCGAGCGGCGTGTCCTCGATACCCATGGATACCATGCTCAAGCAAACTTGCGACGACGTGTTGCAAGAATATCACCCTTATAACGTTAGTCTTACGCACGTAACTTCTCCGCACGTAACTCCTCCGTATTTTTCACTAAACTCATTCGCCAGCATGCAAAAGAGGAATATTTATAATTCATAATTTTGTTCTCCTTAGAATATCACAAGCTTCATGAGTGTTTTTGTTATAGAATTCATCGTTGGAACAAACAATTATTGTTGATTTCTATAATATTTCAAGACTATTTTTTTTTTTTAATATTAACCGCAAATGATATGAAAATGTTTAGTTCGTAATTTTATTGTAGAACTCGCAGTACTGGCATCCGACGAACTATTCTACGATCGGAGGACGCAGTAAGTCCAGTTGTTCGCCAGATTTGGGAATAGAAAGCGATGCTGCTGTTACCACAATTACCACAATTAGGCCTTTAAAAGACACATTGAAGATCACGGAGTCTATGACTAATTTATTGAGCGATGAAGACAATGGAAATGGTAACCACAGAGTGCGAGACGCAAACAGCGAAAGTCCATTACCAATAGAAGGTACATGTTCTTGTAAATACTTCAATAAATATCACTTTAATTATACAAAAAATATTTATTTTGTAATGTAACTGCTTATTAGAGAAACCTCAATAGATTGTCTTATAAATTAATTTATAGGTCTTGACGAGGTGGAAGCTTTGAAGCAGGAGAATGAGGTGTTAAAGCGAAGACTAATGAAGACGAGGAGAGCGTTAGAAGACACGTTTGAACATTTGTCAGCTTCGAACAAAAATAAGAAAAATGTCGAAAAGGCGATAATGAAGCAACTTATGGTGACGAGGAGTATCTTAAAAAAAACGAGAACATTCGATGAACCTCTGGACAATTAATAGAGATTACAGACTGACTGACTGACGCATTGAGGACTTATGCACGAGGAGCGCGCGAAATTGTTACTTGTTGAATTTATATTCTCATATAATGCTCGTTCATTAAGATGTATCGTCTTTTATCCGTTTTAGATTTATCTCTTCTGACACAGACGAGAAGAAAAGAAAACATACGATACATATCCGTACAAAAGAGTATGATATATAATCGTAGGTGTTACAAAATTTTTAAACAAACAGATTTCTAAACAAGAAAAATATTTTCTTACCGAATAGAACATGCTATTTTCGCTATAAAAAAAATATATAATATAAAACAAAAATATATAAAACAAAAGAGTTTAAAATGACCCAGTATATACATTGAGAGATTTTGTGTATAATATGTTTATATATAGAATACGTATATAATAATATGATCTACGCACGGTTTTGTAGATTTTCTTTCTTCTTGGAAAAGCTACTTTTCCAGATGCCGATAACGGCGCTATTACGCCGTTATCCTCGTTCGTTGACATATTCTGCTTTACGAATAACAGAAATTCGCATGTGTGTACATATTTAATATCGCCTGTATCATTTATTATATATATATATATAGCATCTGTGTACATAGTCACCACGAATAAAGTGCCATTGACATTTAGGATTTGATAACATTTATTAATTAATGAATAAAATCTATATAATATTAACAAATGTTTTTTCCCACAGAAAAACAAGTAAATTAAAATATTATGCTTTTAACGTTTAAAATTCAATTTTATGTTGTGTGATTAAATTTAAATTTTTGTTCTGTAATTTTTTTAGAATTTTCTACACTTCGCGACCTGATTTCTTGAGAACAGGATGATCAACATATCAGCGACATGATAACGTGTTGCGTTTAAATTTTGGGATAGTGAAAAGATAAAAATTACACACGGTAAGATTATGATAGAATTTTTATTATCACTCCCCATGACTAGATAATAATATAAAGATCCTTAATAACTTATATATTGATGTGAAGTTCACGAACTGCGAAAAGATACGCGGATTTCCTTCGGCCGCACAATCGGCGAGGAACGGAGAGAGAAACACGATTCTTATACTGTACAACATTAATCTCTCTTAGAAGCCTAGTATACCTTTCTGACTGTTTCCTTCTTTTCGCGACGTTCGCACCCCGCTGGTAGACGTACGTTTAGAGGAAGGTAAAGGGGGACAAGGGGGGGAACAAGTTGGCGCGGATTGGCACTATATATATATATGTATGTATATATAGTACCAATGTATATTATATACAATTCTACAATGACGTGTGTTCTTTTTTCTTTTTTTCTTCTGTCGCTGCTGCCGCTCTTGCGCAAGCATGTCGATAACATATGTAACGAGGCACACAAATAAACATGAAAGAATGAGATAAATCTTATGTATGTTATAAACTTGGAAATTTTTATTCGATGTTCTTGTAACTGGACATGTGACTAAAATTAATAAGAAAGATTAAAAACTAATGTGAGACAGGTACGAAAGAGCCATTGTGAACGCGCGTTAATTCGTGTGCCCCCACATCATAATTGTGCGTTGTGCTTTGTATACACATTCGGTTACGAATTGTTTGAACAATTTGCGCGAGACATAAGAACGGCTTTCCGATTTTCTCGTACACACGAGTTCTCTTACACAAATTATCACATCAATCGACGGCTTGTGCGATGTCTCGTAAGTCAATCAGCAGCGAGGCGCAGTTTTCGAATTACTATAATTTTGATTGTTGTGATTGCACAAATCGGCGCGCAAAAACATCAACACAGAACATGTAGTTAGCGAACAAGTCGTTATGATTCTGCTCGTAAATTTTGGTGCCTTTATTATTCTTTACGTTAACTGACAAATCACAAAACGGTTGTGTGAGAAATTACCAGTAAAAATAATTTTTCAATTCTCCCATTGGTAAAATATGACGACTTTTGCGTGTCGATCTTCCTACGCAACTTCAACTAGCAAGAAAAATTTGTCCAATACAAATCGTTCGATTTTTTTTTGTTTGTCTGTATATTATAATTTGATAGAAAACACAATTTGGAAAGTTTGTTTCGCAAAAATTGTTTCGCACGAAATTGGTGATTTTTACACGCTATTGTGCCGACTACAAAAGTGTTAATTCACTTTTCAGTAGCTATCGCATGTAATTAAGAAAAAAATAAAAAATAAAAAAATCGAACGTCTTGGATTGGATCAATCTTTCAGCAGGTTCTCTAATTCATATTATTTACAATACACATCTCAAAAATCTAGCGTCACACACGTGTAAGCAAGATAGGTCGCCAACGCACGCCTCTAGTGCGATCAATTTTCAGAACACAAGTTTTCGAATATCATAAAATACTAACAAATCAGCAAAATTATTAACAATAATATTTTTAGGTGATTGTTTAGACGATTAATTAGTTTAGAGAATAATTTTTCAAGATACGTCGCGAAGTTTACACAATATTTTTACGAGCCAAAAATATTGAAAATATAATTTTTTCTTTTCGGTAAAACATTATTCGACCATTTAATTTTACGTATCTACAAGAATATGTCGAAAATAAAATTTTATCTTCTCCGATGTGTTCTCTCGAAAACTTGCACCGTGAAAATCAATCCAAGGCTGGATAGTCTTGTTACATACGGATGATCGCATTCGTCGTGATGACGGGATCAATTCCCGATTGAATCGAAAATTTATCACTACAATCTGCGAATTAATTGCAACGTTGCTCGCAATCCTTGTTTCCCTCTTTCTGTGCTTTTTTCGTATTGTGCGTGCTACTCTGTCCTTCGGAACGTTATTAAACGAGAAATATCAAAACGAGAAAGATCAAAAACAAACGAATTTATTAAGCTCGATCAATTAAATTGTCCACAGAGTTGAATCACGACGAATCGATCCGCGCGTATCGAACAATATCACCGGGACACGTTTATTAACACTACCTCCTATTATTTTACTTGACAATTCAAACTCCGTAATACCGAGAGAAACGAGGAACTTGTACATAAATATATATTTAGATTATTCGTAGTTATCGGAATGCGCGAATCGCGTTTTTTACGGTGTGCCATAATAACGTTTTACAACGGCGTCGAAATTACGGCCGCTCGGATTACGAGAGATCGTGTGTGAGGAGGGACGGTGTTAAAAATACCGGTGTAGAATAAAACTCGCGTGGACTCTCGCCTGCGGCGGCGATTCACCGAACGTCAGGTGAACGACCCGCGTCGGCAGTACATTATTCTATACGGTATTTGGCGACGCGCGCTTTTGCCGGGTTATGTGGCGTAATGGGAATGGGAATGAGAGTGATGGTGAGCGTGAGGGGGCGGCGGCTCGCCTAGCCAGGAGTCCGGCGACGGCGGGAAATCAGGGTAACCGCCACCACCGCCGTTACCACCGCCACCGCCACCACCGCCACCGCCGCCGCCGCCACCGCCACCTCTTCACCATCACCACCGCCACCGCCGCCGCCGCTGCTCGTTGCTCTCGTCGTTTCAGCGATGCATCGCGCGACCTCGTGAAAATCCTACGGTAAGTGCGTACAGTGCGGAGCACCATATCGTGCGCCGTGAGGAGAAGTAGTTCTCCTCCAGCTGCCTCCTACTAGCACGCGCCAGCGGCCCGAGATTTAATCCATATATACCGGCACGGTTACCGATGACACATACCGACGCGGTTACCAATAATACNCACCGCCGCCGCCGCCACCGCCGCCGCCGCCGCCGCCACCGCTCGACTCGTTACTCAGATCCGACGCTGGTCCTGGCACCATGCCGCCCGGTCCCCCTGGAATCATACGGTTCGCGTCAGTCGTAAAACTCGCAACTCGGGGAGTTAGTTTAACGCAGAGAATTTCTTTCTCTCTGTCCCTCGATTCGGATGCGTTATTGATCACGAGCGACTCCGAAACGAGTCGAAAGATAAGAGAATCAGTGTATGTTTATCTGACTTTCTTGTGTACAGAAAGTCAGAGAAATCAGGGAAGTACAGAAATTAAAAGTTAAAAAAAAAAAAAAAAAATGTAGAATATTTCTCACGTAATTACAAAAATTACGCGAAAAGGTTTTAATCTTCTAAGATGTGGTACTGCAGTTAATCATTGCACAGGCAAGCTTACCGAGAGTGGTGTAGACCGAAAGACCAGCGTCCGGCGGGTAAGGGAACTGAGGTGGTAAGGACGGCGATCTGGACGTTGAAAGGTACGGAGGTGTAGTCGCCCCCAGGTATCCGCGGGGCGGACCACCTCCGGCCCCGTTACCACCACCACCTGGACTCGCGCCCTCGCCATCGAGGCCCATGTTCACCACCGTTCCGTAGCTGTCGTTGCTCAAGTCTGCGAACGAGGGATTAGCTTTTTCAGGTTTTTGACGAAAAAAAAACTTTCATAGAATTAAGACAAAAGATTTAATTGGGAATTCAAACGCGGATTAAATAATATAACAGTATAAATTGGATCTTTAGCATCTTGAAAGTGTAGAATAGATAAAAAAAAAAAGAAAAAAGAAGATTTCCAGCTTCACGTAGAGTTGCGTCTTTGCGTGTGACGTAACAAGGTAATTTATTCGAACGTCGTACGTAACGAAAGTAAGTCGAAAGTTGAGCCGGCGATCTCTATTGTATCTGAAACTTCCAGAGTACCCCAGATGTCTGCTATCCGGAGGGGAAGACGATCTCGTCAAATATTCAAGAGATCGCGGAGGCTAACTGCCGGCTTACCGTGTCCGAGATTTCAGGAAGATTGCGAGATTGCGGGCCATTCTTGAATTTATACCCGCTATTATACCTGTACTTGCTCTCGAGCGCATTGCCGCGCAATGATATACCGCTCGTCTAAAATTATTTTGACCGAGGCGATTATTAGGAGTAATTTTCATATTAATTGCTGTTTTTGAATTTGTCCCGCAATGATAGCTTTGAATTGCCTCTAAGGCAATTCAAATTGAACCCTTTGTGCGCTGCGTGTGCACGTTTCTCACGTTTAAGAAACATTAATGCCCCCCGTATTTTCTTAGAATTTATTTCTAGTTATTTGCATTCTTTTGAATTTTTTTGCACATTATCTCTAGTATACGATATTATACAGTTTCCACACTAAGAACACTATTATAAATAATTGTAAACAAAGAAGAATTGCGGATTCGTATATTCTCGAATTACGTTGCACTTTTCTCGTTTATTTTATTTACGATCTTTGCTTACTATCTTGTTTTTAAATCGGCAAAATGATATTAAATTTATAAATAACTCACCGTGATGACCGAAGGTGGAGTCCAAATCAACTTTCAGCTCGTCTTTGTCGAGAAGCTTATCGTGTCTAGGCGAGTGACCGCCAGCGCTGGTTCCCTTCATACTGCGAAAGTATTGAGACCACCTTGTTCTACCGGCGTCCTTTTTCAGCCTCTTTTCTTTCGCTCTCCTAAGACATTACAACACAAAACAAGTAATAATAATTTCTAGAAAAAAAACAGCGTTAAACAAATCTTGCTACAACTACTGGAAAAAAAAAAAAATCTTTGAGAGCGAAATATTACGGAATCTGCCGCGAGAGTAAAAATGTAACATACATTTAATTACGTCAAAATTTCTATCGCGTGGAAATTTCCTTTTATCAATTTTGAT